TGTGAGATTAGCATCCGGCACCCGCAAATTTAGACGCATCGCTAAAAACTGTCTACCCCACCGCCACAAACCTGCACCCCTCCCCTCTCAACTATCTGTCCTCAACTAATTCCATCCATCCAGGATTACAATTGAGCCATTTTTTTTTAAATAACAGCCGTGGAAAGTTCTCGCAACAAGCTAAGTAGAAAACGTGTCAATGTTTTTTCTAGTTTTAACCTTAATCACAATTTGTTGACCTAATCCAGGGGTTCCCAACCCCGTGCCCGCGGGCGCCATGGCGCCAGCCGAACGATTCGTATGTGCCCGCCTCTCACTTTTCGACAGACAGAATTTTTTTCATAAACATTATTGAAAGGTTGAAGGGGATGGAAAGTTTGAGGGGAGGGGGGGTGCAAATAGAAAATTTGAGGGGGGTGCAAATCGAAAATTTAAGGGGGGGATGCAAATCGAAAGTTTGAGGGGGGGGGTGCAAATCGAAAGTTTGAGGGGGGATGGGGTGCAAATCGAAAGTTTTGTCACCGGGTGACGGGAAGGGTCGCTACGCCTCTGGAAGGAGTTTGTCGATTTAAAATAGGTGGTGCCCGCCACCCTACCGATATTTTAGAATGTCCTCTAGAGTAAAACAAGTTAATCAAAAAGTCTAGTGACAATTTTAGCGCAATTTCCTTATGTACGTGTCATCACGTTCAATAGATGCGTCATCACGTTCCATGGCTGCGCCATCACGTTCAGTAGGCGCGCAATGGTTTTTAGTCATATAACTCTATTGTTTTTAAAAAATGTGAAAAAATGATTAGGCCTAGCGAAACAAATCTTGTAATTGTAACTCCCTATCACTCTCATATAAATTATAAATAAATTAATAGGGTACAAAAATAACGTTTGAATTAATAAGTAAATAAGTAATAAAAAAAATAAACTAATAGCAAGATCTAAAAGATAGCGAAAAATAGATATCTATATATTGCTATATAGTACTGTAGTGTATTATGTATAATGTAAGTTTAAAATTTTTTTTGAGACCGAACGAAAGGATATTTTTGAAAATTTTCTTCGGCAATATTGTTCTAAATTATGACAGGAATCGATTGGTAAATGCTTCAGGTCGCTAAGTGGTCTGGTTGCCAAGATATGGGCAAAAAACTGCATTTTTTTCGAGGCTTTTTGGCTTTTCTGGGAAATCCAGGAAGGAATTCCGGGAATTTTTTTAGCCCACTATCATCGTCGGAACTTCTTTAACATATTTGCTTTTGGAACAAGTCCTCGATATTGCTTCGTTGAGGAGGAGATACGACTTAAAGCTGCGAACACACATCCATTCCCAGAAAAGACGAGTTAATAAACGCAATTCTCCAGAATGGAAATTGCGCTAAAAAGGTTGGGAACCCCTGATCTAATCAATATGCCGCTACATAAAGATTTTTGTTTGTCTCATTGTCCTTTATGCATTAATACAAAAATGATCCAACTGCCAAGAAACATTGGGAAGTCGTTTATAATAATTCAGACAAACCTCTAGTGACCGTGAAATTTTCTACCACAACCCCACACATAAGGAGCAGTGTCTTCCCCCCCCCCCCCCGCCACGAAGCGAAGCCTGAAAGAAACTCTTACTCTTACAAAGTTATCTGCCTTTAAATATTTTTTTAAAATTTCGTTCGGAGAGCTGCCCCTTGACAATAGTTTCCCAGCGGTTTTCTTAGCATCTGTAGTCAGTTAATTGGGTGTCCTGCACAAGGGGTCAGGGTTACTGCTTAATTCAACGGTCAAACTGCACAAGAGTATCAGCCGGCGCCCCGGGCTCTCCCCGTGAGTACTACGGCGCATAAACTTGTTTTAATGATCGCCATGCCCTAGGGATACGGAACGCTACTATAATCAATGGCAAAAGAAAATAAGGGGTGTCCTCCAGCCGCCTCGACAGTAGTATACAGTTGGGCGCCCCAAGTCCCTCCATTATGATGATGTTATGAAACAAGTTATAGATATGCCCTTTGGGTCAGTAACTTGACCATCGGAAGTATCGAACGTACTGAAGCAGCTAAAATGGACTTCAAAGAACATATTAATCACTTTCCAAACTTATAAGAAAGAAGAGAAAAAAACAAATCTAAATAAAGCATGAGCAACTCTACTTGGGAGGAGGAGGCTCCGCCCCCCCCCCCCCCCCCCCCACACACACACACACTCCAAAACATGTCTACCGTCCCATTCAACGAAATATAATTATATACTTTTTCCAGTGTCCGCCCCCTCCCAGAAAATTCTACCCCCGCCCCCCGAAAATTTCAAGTACCCCCATCCCTCTCCGGGGAGGGAAAAGTCTGAAAGAAACACTGGTCGCATTTGTAGATCATAAAAACTAAAGGAAGAATCTGGGCGGGGCTTCGCCCCTACCGGAAGAGATGCTTGGGAAAAAAACCGCACGCTAAACACTTTTAAAGATTACAAAAAGTTCCCCCCTCCGGAGAGGAAAAAGTCTGAAAGAAACACTGGTGTCGCGCATAGCCACTACCCGAAGATTTGCATTAAAGAAATTGCAAGAAAACCACTTTTTAGATTAGACACATTAATTAGGCGGTAATTTTATTATAGAGTATCGATGAAGAAATTTCTTTTTAGGTGGGGAGGGGTGGGGGCTCAGACATTCTTACGCGGGGGTGGGGCTTCGCCCCTACCCGAAGAATTGTATGAAAGAAACTCTTCACGCAAACCACTTAGATTAGACAAAATTTCCTTTTTATTCAATGTTTACTCGAGAATCAATGACGTCATATTACTGTGTGCACTCTCCGGCTTGAGATTATTTTCTACTCTATGCTAAATGTGACGACGTCATATTTCGTTTTTCGAATTACAATGCATGTTTTTAATTTGCTTGTGTTTTCTCTAGAGCGTTCTTGTCAGATACATAGACAGACAGCGAAACTATTAGTATTAACGAGAAAAATGGCCCGTTGAGGAAGGATACAACGGGCGCTAGGCTGATAGTGCTGTCTCTTTTCTCTAAACTAAAACCACCCCACCCCCCCCCCCCCACACACCACCCCCCACCCCCACCCCCACCCCCCCACCCCCCAAAAAAACATGTTTCGTTGAGGAAGGATACAACGGGCGCTAGGCTGATAGTGCTGTCTCTTTTCTCTAAACTAAAACCACCCCACCCCCCCCCCCCCCCCACACACACACCACCCCCCAAACCCCCACCCCCCACCCCCCAAAAAAACATGTCTCGTTGAGGAATGATACAACGGGCGCTAGGCTAATAGTGCTGTCTCTTTTCTCTAAACTAAAACCACCCCACCCCCCCCCCCCCCCACACACACACACCAGACAGAGCGTTCTTGTCAGATAGATAGATAGATACACAGACAGCGAAACTATTAGTATTAATATTTATTTACTAGCCATCGGTACCCGTTTCACGTGAATTATATGCCTATATATTTTAAAATGTTGTACTTGTTTGAGAAAAATAATTTATAAAATAGTTATTGGTCAAAACGCAATGTGCTTTACTACACGCTGAACGATATTAGTGACAAACCAAAGAAATAACTAATTAGCTAAAAATCCGATACACATTTAACATAACATAGGCACACACTGATTAAGTGACTTAAATGATTCCGTTAAAAACTCGACTATTCAATGGTATTATGTATAGATCTATAGATTTAAATGAAATAGTTTATTTCTTCATCGGTAACCATACCATATTGAATGCACTCGCTGATTAAGAGACTTAAAATTAAGAGATTTAAAAAGATTTCTTTAAAAACCCGGTTGTTCAATGGTAGTTATGTTGTTTTTGTCTTTTTAAAAACATCTATTTCGGCTGAGCATGGGCTTTGTTTCTTTTAGACTTTTTTCTCCGGGGGCACTTGAAATTTTCGGGGGAGGGGGGGGGGGGGGGCGGACACTGTTAAAAGTATATATTTTCTATATAAATTTAATTTCGTTCGGGGGGGGGGGCGGTAGACTTTTTTCGGGGAGGGGGGGGGGTCCGCCCCCCGAAGAAATGCCTGGAAGAAACTCTGAGCATGGGTCTGTCCACACTATCTCTTCATATGCTAAAAAGACAAAAACAGGTGAACTCTACTTCACCTGCCCCGTGTCCCGCCAAGTCCCAAAAGGCAACTTTATTATCAACATATTCAAAAAAAAAATTGAATTAAATTTAAGATTGACTTGGTGTGTCTCGAACCAGTACCACCGACATGGTATCAATTACACTCTCGACTTTGTTCGAATTTATCAACCATGACCTTTTTGCCGACTCAATTAAGCGGTACGTGTCAACTGGTTATGCGCCATTGAGGCCATTGACTCCGATTTCAGCCTGCTTTTCTTTTTGGATTTGCTTCCATAGCCTTTGTCCAACCAAGAACAAACTACAAGGCAGCAGTTGTTTGATTTTGGAGTTGTCTCTCCTAGAAGAGTGGCTGTCCCCAGCTAACGAGCCTCATCTGCCCGAGGGTTCGAACTCGAGACGTTTCGGTTTAGCAACCATGAGCTTTAACGACTCGACCACGCCGACCCCTACACTTTTAGTGACTTCAGAGTTTTAGGTGTATTATGGCCTATAGATCATCAACCCCCAGTTGTTGTTGTTGTTTTTTTACTAAAATAACATCTAATTAGTCTATTTCAAACTTTGTTTCAAGGTTCAAGTTCAAGTTAAAATAAAAAATCGGTTCGGAACAAGGGGTTGAAATTTCGATCGCAAATTGCTTTGCATATAAGTAAGCTTGTGATTATGAAAGCTATTTTTATATTAATTTCATAAACGTCATAATGTACCCCTTATTTTATTGGCTGCATTATTTGTGGTTTTCCTTTTCTCGTGATAGGCTAATCTTCCGTGTTTTGCATAATGTGTCACGTGTCATTCAAATTTGAAATGTGTAGACCTTCACCATTGGTCATTTTTTATTGTTCAAAGTAGCCTACCTTAAGAGTATTCAAACATTTTCACCTTCATTGCACGCTCGGGTTGTTGACAAGAACACAGGTTTATCAAAGGAGTCTTACTCTTCTTAGTCGCTAGAGCTGTGGCATTAGTAACGTCCAGTATTTAGTCAGGTAGGTCTAAAATTGTGGTCAATTAATATTTAGTTTATTGAAATTCTAGTCCTACGTGCTACTTTACGAGGCCTAGATCTACATACTTTTACATTTTTGGCCTACTGTATACTATAGATTTATGTAAAGTAAAAAAATACCTGGATAGATTCAATCTATTAGATTGGCTTATGATAAAATCAAAGTAACCCCGTCTAAGGCTTAAAAGCCTCAGGGTAATTATATTTATATATTTAAATAAATAGTCTATAGCCCAGGCCTATCTATTAATAAGATCTAATATTGATTTCCCAAAGGAAGTGGCCCGGGTCCGTATAACCACGGCATTATTGGCATTAAGTTTGGTCTATAATTACACACTCGTATAAAGTATAGGCCTAACCCCTATTCAAATTTTACCTTTTATGTTTAATTTATTTTTCTTGTGGAATTGCGAGTATTTTGTTGTTTTATTGTGTTAAAGTTAAATAGTTTTGTGGATTTGCTAGTGTTAGGTCCTTCTATTTCTTAATACTCCATATTTAGCTCTACATTAAATATTGAATAAATATCGTAAGACCTGGTGCAGAACGTCGCGCCTGCCAAGTCTCGTAAAATTAAAATTTATGGCTTGGAACCGATTTCCCATCAGTTGATTATGGTACATTTAAAAATAAAAGTATTCATCTAAATTTGTAGTTCGGTCTCGAGAGTTGCTTTGAACATTTGTTTTTATAGGCCTAATTGTTTTTTTTTATAGATTCTATAGGCCTATCTTTTCTAGATTTAGATTATTAAATATAACAATTTTAAACGTAGTTGCTCACCTTTTCTTCTCAGCGCGAGAAAAATACTTACACCGTCTAGCTAGGGTCACTGAGTTCACATTGGATTAGATATAAATAGTGTAGGCAGGGGACCCTCTGAGTAAAAAAACAAAAAAAGGGACTACGCGTCTGTTCTATTCCTGAATCAGTAGGCCCATATATGTATAATTGTATATGTATGTTTGGAACAGCCATTTAAAAACTGACGCTATGTTCACTCTGAGTTGGTTATTCTCTCCCCCACCCCCCTTTCCTCTCCACCAGCATGAGAACGGGGCAGGTGTAGAGCGACATTGTCACACCCAGGTATACGCCGAGTAAGGTAATAGACTTTAAGTGACCGGACAGTGGTGAATAAAGTTGACCCCACCATCCCCGTAATGATCTGTAAGTTCATAATTGGGAAAATTCAATAAAGTAAAGCGGTCAAAACTGACCAGTCGTATATCCCAATGTTGGGAAATTGCGAGACGCGAAAAGCGAAACGGCGAGGCGGGAAATGCGAGAAGATAATGCGAGACATACATGCGGAATCAAGGGTAAATAGCGAAAACGTTTTTTTCATGCTTTTTTTCATCTTTATTTATTTAAATTATTTTTTTAAATTTTAAAATAAACAAGCAGGTAGCCATAAACAATTCTAATAAGTGTAATTTATATTTTATTAAAAGTAGGCCTAATTTTAATTACAAACAAAATTTACAAAATCTTCTGAAACAGTCCTAGCACAACTCAAACACACCTCTGACACCATCTTTCACACATAGTACATCTAACCCAGTTCATTTGACTCCCATTTATACATTTTTCTTTGGTTACTTCTTCCAATCCACATTCACAACATGTCACATTCTCATCACAGTTGACCTCCCCGTTCATCCCACACACAACACTGGCGGCGGATATATAATACAAAATTTCTATGCAACAATAGAAAATATGTTAGCGGCGGCAGCGAGTTCGGGCACGGTGATCTTCAAAGACAGTAAATCAGGCGGCCTCAGTGTTCAACACAAAAGACAGAAGTTGATCTATCGTCCGCGGTATTTCCATCGGTTTCGAACAAGGTGGTATTTTAAGTCGTCACAAAAGATGGGGGGAGTTGACAAATCATCAGTATGTCTAGCGACGGAAAAATCATAAGTTTTAACAATGTAAACGAAACGTCTTTGAAGTCTGCACCAAATACCATGTAAATCGGGTGCGGTAAATTTTTCGCAGAAATCTTCGCATTTTAACACCATCCAGCGTAAGTATCGGGTTGTGGTAATATGCGAGACAAAGTCACGTGACCGACCGTTTTCGCGCCCTTCTCGCATTTTCCCGCCTCGCAATTTCGTAATTTATGTGAAAAACAAAGGGTAATTTTCAAAAAAGTTCTGACTCTCTTTACACCTGGCTAAATTTTTGTATGTTCTTCCATAAAGTAAAGTGCTCAGCCGTATGGGAAAACTGACGGTCAGACTCGATGTGGGCTAAAAAGTGACCGCGAGTGAAATTCACCTGAGCAATATATATCGAAATTAATTATGCTCGACGACCCCCAAAACGTCGCAAAATGGCTGTTAGATCTGATCAGATGTCATTTTTCTTATACAGAGCAATATTTTGAGAGAAAAGTAAACTAAGACTGTCATTCAGTCTATGAACAAGAGAGGAAATTTTTCAAAGTGACAAAATTTAGCTTTCTTGAGTTATCCATGCGGGTGGCACGGGTTATAGGCACATTGTGTCGATTATTATTTTTTCAATTTACGTCTTTTTGAATGTGGGGTCTGGTTATTTGTGATAAGTGACAGACGTGATTTCATTTATTGGATTAAAAAAATTTCTACCCCATCTCCTCCATGTTTATTTTTTTTCTTATTTTGACTAAACTCGTTATTTATATTTATTACATTTTGGTTTAATCTTTACATCCTTTTATTGAATATAGTCATTAGTTCATTTTGACTAATTTAATATAAGATTAGATTAAAACCACAGACTTTTTGTAAGAGTTTTTAAAAAGTTGATATGATAATAGATAATGGTTCTTTTATTTTATTTAGAGGAAACAATGAGCCAAGAAAAAAGAAGTAATTTTGACACCATAGAACTGGAACATATTTCCAACCTTTTAAAACTATATTGGTCAAGCACCAACAAACAAACTGGTGGACAAGGTGAAAAACTTGACTATTGCTACAAATATGCAGGAGGGTGTTCTTGGTGCTTTGGTAGCATAACATCCAGTGAGGCTGCCAAGTATTTAAGCAGCAAATGTCATAGTGAAACAGAACCCAGTTCACCCTTGAAGAAAGTCACTGGTCCACTTGAGACCATTGAACCTATAAAACTTGCAAGTCTGCTCTTAGCTTATAACAACAGTCTGACTGGAGCTCTTCTGAAAAAAAGTTGTGTACATGATAACAAGGTAATGTATTGAATTTTTTAATTGTTTAATCAATGTAACTTTAAGGGGTCATGGCTGCAGAAGAGCTCAAACAACATGGCAGATGATGCTCAATAGCCGGGAACAGCGAGCCATCTACAAAAATTTGACACTCGTGTTTAAAGCAATAGGCTTTCATACCATGGGACTACACTTCTCATGAGAGGGAGGTGCAGGTTTTATTACCTTGTTTGGAAACTACTATAAATGAATTTTTAGTAAATGGATATGATGATATTCCAAATTTAAGACAGCTAGTGGTAATCTATGACGTCGATGTTTTGTGTGTTGTGCTTGTATTAAGGATGGAGATAGGTTATTTAATTTAAAGCAGCTAACATAAGAAATCTGGTTTCATCAAACACATGACTATGTTCAATCTTGATTTTATAACAATCACGCATATCAGCAGGAAACCCAATCCAACAATGTATTTTACAAAATGGGATTTATTGGAAAAATGTCTTAAATTCATTGGGAATTACATTCCTGTACATCTGTTGATCTCCAATCACCTTTATATTGGGCCTAATTGTTATGGACAAAATATTTAGATGAAATGCTGCAATTTGTATAACCTGTATTTTCTTCTCTCCCTGTATTTTTTTTTACCCATCAATCCCCAATAGCAATTAAAACCTTTTTACCCCTTGTACATTCCGTATGTGCTAGCGGCCGTATCACTATTCTTTAGGAACATCTGCTTCTTATGTTTTTAAAAGAACAGCGAATAAGAATTATGTTTCTAAAAAGTGGTTCTTATGTATATTTAAATACACATTTTTTAATATAAAATCATATTTATATTAGCTTTTCTATTTATAGGACTTTGAAAGATCTCACACTGAAGCTATCTTCAAGCTTAAACACAGAAGAATTGTTCAATTTTATGGGCTCATAAAAAGAGATCAAGAAATTATCTTGTATTTTGAAAATGTCAAGAAGGTAAACTTTTTTATTATTTTTATCATCTTTTTCTAAAAAGATACTTCTAATATTACAACTAAAACATAATGGCTTTTAAAAAAAAGGGTTGGATAGTTTTTAAAATATATATTTACACAATTAAGTATCTTTAGGCCCTTCAGTCCATCACAAAGTTGAAGCAGAGCTTTTTTTATTGTGTGGCCAACCTCACTTTGCTAACAAGAGTTGAGTAGGTGACCTGGTGATGTTTTACACACTAAAACCCAGAATTTGACAGTTTAATTTTTTGGCTAGCTATTTTTTTGTGTCATCATCTTTTCCTGTTTGCCAAGACACATAGGGCAGTAGAGTTCATGTGTGTTGATGATCTCAGCAGCTTCATTTTTTCCTTTTTGTGTCCAAGTCACATGGGGTTGGCAGCCTCCCCATGACAGTCATGCATCTGCCAGCTGCTTCCCTGCTGTGCACCTCCACGTCTTCCATGGCCTTCCTTGTTTTTTTCTTTGAAACATCCAGTTCAGCCATTCCTTCAATGTCAACTGGGTTCATTCTTAGGACATACCCCATCCATCCCGATCTTTTTTCAATTAATTTGGAAACTGCTTCCACTCCCATCTCTCTAATTAATTCATCATTTGAGATAGTGTTAGACCAGTATGCCTTTTATCCTTTGCAAGCACTTAAGTTGAAATTAATCCACTCCAGTGATCTGCTCAGCATACAAGGGGATAATGTGGTCAGCACTATGCCCAACCATCTCCCTAATGTGACTTAAATACACATCAGAGCTGGGCAGTGGCGTGCCTATTTTGATGACCAGTGCCAACTTTAGGGCAGATGCCCATATATATATATATGTATACGTATATACATACACATATGTATATACATACACATACGTATATACGTACACATACCAATATACACACACATACCTATGTACACACACATACCTATGTACACACACATACCTATGTACACACACATACCTATGTACACACACATACCTATGTACACACACATACCTATGTACACACACATACCTATGTACACACACATACCTATGTACACACACATACCTATGTACACACACATACCTATGTACACACACATACCTATGTACACACACATACCTATGTACACACACATACCTATGTACACACACATACCTATGTACACACATACCTATGTACACACACATACCTATGTACACACACATACCTATGTACACACACATACCTATGTACACACACATACCTATATACACACACATACCTATATACATACACATATATATAATATATATTTACTAGCTGACACGTGCTGTAAGCAAATTGTTTTATTTGCTACTTTTCCATAATTTTTTTCTTTTTAAATTGAATATTGTGTGTATAATTACTGTATGGATGCCATTCAAATATGTTATATGAATATGAGCATACTTACTTCAAAGATGCCCCTGCAGTGTATAAAAATAAATATGGAACTAATTACTCTACGAATTTTTTAAAAAGTAGTATAACGAATATGGCCATAAATACTTTACTTTAAAGATGCCCATTTAGTGCATAGGAATTAATGGGTAAAAGTATCCTAAAAGATGCCCCTACACTATACTAAATAAATATCATATACACACTTTAATATAAAGACCACATTTATTGAAGAAACAATGACTATATATATACCAAAGCCCACTTTTTCCATAAAGTTGTGCTATACAGTGATAGACAATTCAGTATTACAATTTGTTTTGGGTGAATTAGTAAATAAATAAATCAGTCAGAAGTCAGTATGGAGGCAGATGAAAACTTATGATGACACAACATACAGCAATATTTTTCAATAACAAAAAAAAAGTTCACCCACATCAGATGCAACCCTCCTCTGCATGCCACTGGAGCTGGGTGGACTCAGGGACGGTGTACTGATTTGAACCCTGTTTTGAATTCGAGACTTTATGGGTTGGACTCTAGCTCTCTGCCACATCATCCTTTATTTCTTTGTGTACCCTCCCATTATAAATAATGTGTGCTTTTCCATTGCAATTAGATTTTTTTAAAAATTCTTTTGACTATCTACCTTTCTGAATAAAAATAACATTGCTCACAACATATATCCTTGTATAAACTGTCTTAATTATCTAGAAATAATGTATACTTATAGATCAGCCATTACCTATTGTATTCTCTAGAATGTTTTTACTTATTTAGGGAACACTCTCTTACTACATCTCAAAACATGGAGTCCCTGATGAACCATCAACAAAACTATTTACCATACAAATATGGGAAGGCATCAATTACTTGTATAGCAATAAAGTTTTGAATCAGGATTTGAGAGGTTTGTTAATGTTTAGCACAGAGAAAATCTGTGTTACTCTCCAATCAAATAATTTATTCTGTCGACCCATCTTAATATAATACTTCATAATTTCAGAAGAACTGAATATAATTTAACAAACCATCTTTCCATGGTATCTTACATGTTTTTTTAACAATACTTTCTAGCTGAACTATTGGCAAACACGATTTTCTTTTTAATCTTTTGAATTTAAATGTTACAGGTAATAATATATTGATGGGAGCTGATAAAAACATAAAAAAACCAGATATTTTCAAAATCTGTCCCCTGGATAATAATAAAAAAAGATGGAAAATGCCATTTTCATGTTCCAAAAGGGAAGTAGAGAGTTTTGATGATGAAACCAAAATTGATATTTGGTAAGTATCAGCAACTCTTTGTAGTCTGTCATGGTGGTGTCAGCATTTTGACAATTAATATTACCATCAAGTAAATCAGGTAATATTATCTTACTAGATCTAGATCTCTAGATCTAAAATCTAAATATACTAATATAGGCCTACATAATTTAATAAGCAGATCTACATATATTTATATATAGACTATATGTAGATCTATATAGTATATATGTTATGTTACCACATCTAAATAATAAATATGTATCAGATCTAAATGTAGATCTAGGTCATGACTAGGTACTCAAAACTGGAAAATATTGGTACTGCTCATTTTCGTTACTTTTTTATACCCAAAACGATAGATTACCAGATCTAGATTTATATATAAACAGCAGCCATTTGTAAAATAAAGTGGCTTCCCCTGAATCTTCCGCTGTATACCGCGTTTACAATTACGACATGTATACTATACATTTCCAGAACACAAAGCCCGCCAAAATATTTTTATCTGGAACAATTTTCTCCACAGAACATGTATACTTTAGCGTTCACACTTACAGAACATGTTATAGAACATTTTATTTAACAAGCTTGACCTTTGGCATGGAGCGTCTGCTATATAGGCCTAGACAAATAAAATAAAGAGTAATCAAAGTAAAAAAAAAACCCACGTAGATAGTGGACACACAGCTTTATTTTTTAAAAAGGAAAATAGTGTAAAATTTAACAATGAATTATATAAAAATTAGAGAACATGCAAGATTTTATAAATTTTATTGGAGTGCCAGCAAATGTAGTTAAAAAGTTTTTATAAATATAATGCTGTGTATAATAGCACGGGTCGTAGACATTATTCACATGTTATTACCCCTCCCTCCCACCCGCAGTACAATCACCCCTTCCCACCCCAACCCTATGGTAGCCATTTCTCCAACTTTTTTGCTTGTCTATATCCTTCAGAAACAGCTTCGGATAAACAGGGCTAAATATTTGTTTGCTGAAAGGCTCGATTTCTTCGAACACTAACACCTGCCAAGTTAATTAAACGTATTTACAACTATGAGTCTATTATTAAGAAAAAAGTAGATCTACTTTTTAAAGTAGGGCCTATGTGACACTCATTCCTTCTCACCCCTTCGTTTTTTATGTTAATTATGTCCCGTTCTAAACCTATATAATTAGCCTATGACTTTATCTGCCTGTTTTCATAGTCAGTTGATCATGTGTGATCTCACGGGTACATTCTGGTGGATCTATAGATTTATTCATGTCAGACGGAAACTGAAAATATGTTGATACACTTAAAACAAAATATTGGTCAAGGAAAAATTTGAGATACATTTGGTTAAATTATATTTTTAAATAATTATTATTTTCGTAATTAATACCTAAACTGGTTTAAAGGCAAAATTGTAATGCCTTGGACATTACATTTGTTTTATTAAAACGTGTTCGGGATTTAATTAAAGAAATAATAAGTAATTATAAAAAGATAATTTTTATTAGGGCCTAGTGAAGTTATAAATTATGAAATCGTGGGCTTAAAAACTAAAGATCAGTAGTAGGCCTATAGGGTCCAGGGCCTAGCTTCTTTAATTTTGCTATCAGCTGAGACCTAGGGCCTAGGATGCGCCTAACTACTTTTCGACGCATGCGCACTAATCTGAAAATTCAGAACATGTACTATGTTTTCGCTCAGCGAACGAAGACAAAAAAGACCCAGAACACAAAAAGGGGCGTGGTTTTGTGTACTGCGACTCAGATGTTCCATATACTCGTAACATGTTTAGTATACACTTTAGTAGGTCAAGTCTAGTGTACATGTCATAAGTGTAAACGCGGTGTAAGTTTAACAAAATAAAACTTAAATAAGATGGCTGCTATAGTAAATAAATGAGCATGGTTGCATCTGATGAAAACATCGCTACTGAAAGTATGAATTATAAGTTAGATTTCAGATTTTGTAACTTGGTATACTTACCCTTTATCAATTTTAAAAGCATAGCATGCTGATTGTGAACAAATATAGATCTAGTCATAAAACACAGAAATAAAAAGTTACAATCATAACAATGCGATGTGCCACACTCGGGTCACACCCACTCAAGATTTTACGTACCCAAAACGATAGATTACCAATATTTATTCCATTAATCAAGTTCAGTGGAGTGTGCAACAGGCTGACCTGACTTTGGAATTTTTTTCATTAATAATGAATTTGCACAGAAAATTAATATATGCCAAATTGTCAACAAAATACCTAAGGGTGATTTCATGTACCTGTCTTAAACGATAGATTACCGAAAATACATGTTTTTTAAAGCTCGAATGAGTAAAAAAATCATTATTTCTCAAATTTTCTCTGGAAATTGAATTTTTTCCGAAATTTACTAAAAAAATTTTACTAAAAATTCTAGATCTAGAATCTAAATACATATTAGGCCTAGATTGTCCATTTTCTATATATTTATATAAATGCGAAACTATCTTTACAATACCAAACATTACAATACCAAACATGGCGCGAATGGCAAAGCGTGATGAAGAAACAATGTAGGCCTAGCCTACTTCTTGTTCGCCGACGCGATCACGAAATTAACTTCAAAGAAAATATAGATCTAGATGTCTAAGTGTAAGCCCTGACATGTAAGAATAGAAATAATTTTTTTTACTACACATTAGATCTAGATGTAGATATTAGATCTAGATTCTAGATATAAAATAATACAGTTTGGCCTAAGGTAAACTATCGTTTTTTAGGGATGTAAAATCAGCCGAGACTAGATCTAGATTTCTAGAGATCTAGATGTATCTAAAATTTAGATCTAGTTTTTTTTAATAGACCCAAGCAAGAAAAGTCTCAAAGGTATTCAAGAGGCTAATTAAATATTAAAATCATGTGCTGTATAATTAAAATTAATATGGTTGTAAAATCCTGTTTTTTTTTTTTTTTTTTTCGGACTATATGTGACGTTTTGGTATTTTCGGTAATTCAACACAATTTTTTAAAAGACAAAAGCCTTTTGAAAAGGCAATTTGGTTGTCACGTGACATAGCCTAAATGCAGACATGCCTACCGTCCCTCCAAAATCGGTACTGTTCCGCCTTTTTCACCTAAAAAAAGTAATTTGTTCCGTCATCCCGATTTTGACAGTTCCAATTTTTTTAAATTTAAAAAAAAATTACTAAAGAAAAGTAATAAATCAAATTGAAAAAAAAAGGCAGGGAAAATAAATTATCTCCCTTTGGCAGTTTTAATAAGGTGAAAGGTATGGTTGTTTTATTAAATTGTTTTATAACACTACCCTCTAATTTAGGCGGACTTATGCCCTCTGGCGCCCTTGTATGGTGCGATTAGGCTGCAAATAAACATGTCTGTTTCGGCCCCCAAAGGCTCACATGGGCCGCGGAGCGCCATGTAATACGTTTTATTTTAATAATCAGAAAAATTAACCAAGGTTAGATTATTAACTGGGATGTTTCTTTTTGTCCGTAAAAAATTCCAGTTTCGCCACTTTGCGAATGATGCAATAAGCATCTATTTTTAGATAATCCAAACAGAAATTGAGATCGAACATCTAAGACCATTAGTAACGCTAACATATTGCATCAGTCACACTGATATTTAAAACACGACAAATAATTTTTTTTTACGTGTTAAATAACAAATCCTATTCATTTGTGTCACTTTAGTGAATGACGCAATCTCCATCATTGTTAACAGGATGCTATTTGGCACGATGGCGCCTGTTGGTTGTATGTGGTAGTGTGATCGATAGGGGGGCTCCTGAGAGGCTCCCTCTACGTCTGACACATGGGCGGTCACCGAAGTGTCTTCTACCATATTATTTCGGTGAATGATTAATGTACACTCAATGCTTTAATGTCGTAGTGTAGGTAAACCAGTGTCCTGATATTTATGATCCAAGCGCAGGCATTGTTTACATTTAAATAACTCACTTTAAGAAAAGAAGGTCACGCGTCTAGGACTAGGAACATATGATTGGTAACGCGTTAGTGAAATCCTTCTAATATATGTCGTCAAACTTTCTTCTATCACCCCGGCAACGTTAGTGTATGTATATATGTATATTACCAGATCTAAATATATATTTTATCAAATCTAAATAATAATCATTAAAAAAGTTTTAAAAAACCCACGTTTTCTGATTGAACTAAAAAGTAGAAAATAAACGCTATACATCACAATAATGCAAGCGATCACTCTACTATAAGCGATCAATTGCAATTGCATATTCTATGGTCATCCAAAAGAAAGCTTCCCTGAAAATTTCAGCGCGCTAGCTAACTGGGAAGTGCCAGAAATTTCGATCGCAAGATTTGAGTGGAAAGACAGAGAAAGAAAGTTAAAGAAAACGTGGGAAAATATATGTTATTAATCAAACTATATTTTACTAGGTCCATTGAAATAACTGGGTCAACTGGGCATTCTGGGGAATTCAGTGCACAAGATGTGTATGACTTGCCGGCAAAAGCTCGATCTAACTTGCCTAATTTGGCATCATCAAAAGTAATAGAGAATTCTGAAGAAATTCCTTTTGCAGAATGGTTATTGCAAAATAATCAATTTATAACTGGTAAACAATAATTTTTACAAAATATTTTCATGAATATATGTATTCAAATTAGATTTTGGTACTGACACATTTAAAATTTTCTTTAAATTATTTAGTAAAATTCTTACATGCTTAATTTTACTGACTGCAGATATATAATTGATCTTTCATTAGTACAATTTCTGTGTTCATTGTAATGTTAGTGTTGAGATTTTCCTGCTCTGGCTGATACACAATATTCCTGACCATCTCATTATTGACATTGCAGATGAGCAACACTTGGAAATGTCAAAGACTGCCTTGCCATCTGCTGCTACAGCTGTTGGAGGGCTGGAGGAGGTAATTAAAGAGGAAATTTAATTCTTAAATTGAACTTTGTTGTACTAGACCATAATGAGTCCGTACATTAGCATTGTGGACTTGTTAAAACTTGTATTTGTTATAGACAAAGTTATAGAAAATATATCTTTAAACTTAAAGGTATTTTACAGTCAAATACTTCAACTATTTGTATCTATGATGTTAGCTACCTCTTTTCCTAAGGCAATATTTTTGTATTGAAAACATTCTTTTTAATACAATCTTTTTCAGGTAGACATTACTCAAGATGAAAATAAATGTATCTTAAACCATTTTGCTGAAATTTTGAAACTATACTGGTCAATTATTAACAAAGTATCTGGTGGACAAGATGTGATTCTAAAAAATTACCACGAGGATGAGGTGGAAGCTTCTACGTGGTTTGACAAAATAAAATCAAGTGAAGTGATTGATAGTTGCACCATCAAGCATAGTGAAGTATTGAAAAAATTAACTGTTCCATTGGAGGTGAATGAATTAATTAAAATTGCAAGTGTGCTCTTAGCATACAACAACAGTCTGGTGGTGGATCTGAGTGCTGTTGCTTGTGTAGAGGATGTAGAGGTAAAGCTATGTAACTTTTTTTTTACATTCTGTGATAAATATTTGAATTGTTGGTATGACTTAATTTTTCCCTGAACTACATTTATTTTCTTAACCATTAATGTCCCGTAACGCCCGCTGCCGCCCGACACCGTTAATGTCCCGTAACGCCCGCTGCCGCCCGCTTAAAATACACATAGAAAAATTAAATTTGTTTCATTAAAATTTGGCCTACAAATCCTAATTTTTAACTAAACAGGAAGTCGGATAGTTACAGCGTCCTTTTCCGGTCTTATAATTTCAATGGCGCTTTTGAAAGATAAAAAATAATAGTTTTTTTCTATCTCGAAATTTTAGACTCATCTGTCCTTTTTTTAGTAGATTTAATATTAAAAATAAAATAAAATAATGCCTCTAAACGTATCTAGGCATGTATTTTATGAATTATTTATCTTAAACATAACCAAATTGATATTTAACTGTTAAATTCGATGCATAGTTGTTTAGACAAAAATAAATAAAGTTGACTACCGAAAATGACCTGTTTTCAATTTTCTCCGACATTTTTTATTTTTTTTACTGTACTTTTACCGAATACAATATATTCTATTTAATACTGTTGGAAAGCCAGGTTTATTCTTAACATTAAGCAGTAGTTTTTATCTTAATTTTCAATTTCATTTAGACAAAAACAAATATTTTGTGAAACTATTCACTTGATCATACAGAGTTATGCCCCTTACATTGGGCCGTCATGGGTGGAGTTTTGGTAGAATGAATGGGACATTAATGGTTAAATAACTTCACTAAACTAGAGTTTCTTCTGCTAACTAGATGTTCATCTTATTAGGGCTCTGATCTATTTTTAAAGTTTTGTGACAACAGTTGTCTCTGAATGTTAAATAAAATAGTATTAAAAAGTTAATGAGCAGCTTCTGAGGCCTAGTGGTGTAGCGCTAGACAATTAAGCCGAAAGTCTTAAGTCTGTGTTCAAGTAAGTACATCGTCCCTGAATCCACCCAGCTCTGATGAATACCTATTATGTTAGGGAAACAAATGCTGCTGTGCATAGTGCTGACCACATTATCCCGTTGTACATCAAGGTCATTGAAACAGATTAACTCTACTTCATCTGTCCCATGGCCACAGACGGTAAAAGATAATTATCTGAGAAAGAGTTAGATTAAATTATAAATCTGTAAAAAAAAGTTTCCAATTCTGAGTCAATGTTATTTTGGTAAAATAATTAAAAACATAATCATATAAAAATTGTTTACATTTGGCAATTCTTTAATAATCTATTAATTGATTGAGGGATGTTTTTTTATGAGAGAGATTTTGTAGCTAAAAAAGAGAAGTTTAAAAAAGGCACAAATAAACACCTTATTAGGGTTATAACTCATTACTTGACATTGTGCATCAAAACATAGTTAACTTGAATGGTAAATGGTCATATTAGATATGAAAAGATGTCTGTGTAGTCACATCGGCCAATTTCTTCTAATTCCTTGACACATGACTTATAATTAAATACCTAAACAGATATGTTAATAGTTTTTACCTCTGGTATATACAAGTGAGCAACAATTTTATCTGTTATTAAAACTATCAATAAAATATTACAGCAGGAGCACAGTACTAGAAAGAACTTATCAGCCCTTGTAGAGAAAATGTCCAGAGCTATTGAAACTTTTCTGGCCTTCATCCCATGGGACTACACCTCCTGTGAGAGGGAGATGCAGGATTTATTACCTTCTTTGGAAGTTGCACTAAAAGAATTTTCAGTATCAGTGGACACTGGCAATCTTGAAAATGTACCCTTTGAGCAACAAATGGTAATTTATGACATTGACATTTTGTGTGCAGTGCTTGGCTTAAGAGTGGAATTAGCCAGTCGCTTGAAGAAGATACAAACAGAATTATGGTTTCACCAAGACGAGTTATACTACATTTTAAAATGGATAAAAAGCTTTGAGCGAAACATGTTCCAACCAAATGACGTATTTTACAACATGGGGTTTACTGAAAAAAAGTCCAAGTTCATTTCAAATAACATTCCTGCACATCTGTTTGATCTCCAATCACCTTTATATTGGGCTGAATCTTACATTGAAAGCATGTTCCGATGTCATCCTCTTTTATCTGATTCCAATGATTTCCCTTACAAATCATTACATAATGATTACCCTTATGCACCGGAAAACATTCCATTTAGAGCGTTAATAAACTTCAGAAAACCAAGGCTACCTGGAACGGCGGAAATAAATATTATCAATGTATCGGACAAATCAAGTCAAGATATTCAAAACTCCATTGACAGTTACTTGCTCCAAAACTCCAGAAACAGGCATAGTCTGTTGTTTCATGGGACTGACCATGTATCTGCAGTCTCTGTTTTAGAGCAAGGAATAAGGGTTAAAGATGGTCATGCAGCACAGGACTTTACAAATAAAGAAGGTTTTTACCTGTCCTATTCTTACCACGAAGCCAAAGATTGGGCCATAAAAGGTGGCAATGATCCTGCTGTGATTGTGTTTAATATACCGCAGATGTTGCTTGTGGAGGCTGACAACAATGGGCGTGACTTGACACCTGATACCCCAGAAAACAGGAGAGAGTGGGAAGAAACAATCAAGTATTGTCGAAGTGGTTATAATGGAGATGAGCCTTCAAGGTTTAGAACGTACTCCTTCATTAAGGGACACATGTGTTGTAATCCGCAAGATGTAAAGAGAGGACACACCCCTGCAAAGCATTCACCGCCCAAACTGCAGTTGTGTGTAAAAAAGAAGCGATATGCTCAAGTATTTGGAAGTACCAGCCACATTTTGTGTGCCGTATTCTACAAAAAATCTTAAAATAAATCCATTTACATTAATAAATTGTATTTCCTTCATGCATTTTTTGTGTGGTAGTTCTCCATAGTTTTTTGAATTAGCTTTCATATTAAACAAATTTTATGCAATAATACGCTAAAAAATAGATGCTAAAAAATAGATGCGTATCATGAATAAGGTAATTCATTTAGTGTAAAATATGCTTTATAGTCCATGGACAGTTTTTTTTGCTCTTAAAATTTACAAATGCATTTTTTCTAAAAACTAGGCCTACAGCACAATGCTGTATTTAATAAATAAATTTTTATTTAAAAAAAACCCATCAGATAGTAATTATTTTTAGCTATGTAGTTTAATAAAAAACATGTTTAATAAAATTACTCTAAAGTTATTCAATTAAAAAGATTTTTTAATTTTTTTTATACATACAACATTGTGAAACTTATGTGAGTCAACATATAATTTAACTGAAAATGATAAGTATAATACTGTTAATTTACTAATAGTTATTGTATTTATTTTGATATAGTTTTATAAATATTATTGATTGAAAATTGTAACTGTAATAAAATTGTAATAGGTACTGATTTAAAATAAAATATACATTGAGATCTGTAAATGTAGAATATGGTTATGCATTTTTTCTTGAATGCAGAGTATTGTAAATGCTTAATTTGTCACTTCTATAAAAAAAATTAAAATAAGAGTCTAACTACAAATCCAACTTTTACATCATTTAGCTCAATAAACAAAGACATAATATATCAAGTTATGTTACAAAAGTATAAACTTGTATGTCAGTGTATAGGCAGAATTTATATATATATTTATATAGCAAAGGTTACATTGTGCAGTGAAAATATAACAACACGGGGGCGTCACTAGGTTTAGCGTCACACGGTGCGAGATCCCACTTTGTTAAACCCTTTCCCTCCAACAAATTTACAGTTGTTCCCAGAGTTTCTTCCAGGCATCTTTTCGAGGGGGGGGGGAGGCTACCTCCCGAAAAAATTCTACCGACCCCCCCCCCCCCCCCCACCCCCAACGAAATGGAATTTATATAGTAAATATATACTTTTACCAGTGTGCGCCCCCCACCTCCTGGGGAAAAAGTCTGAACTAAACAATAAACAATGGCGCCTAGAAATACGTATATCATTTAGTATCTACATAACATATTAGCCATGGATATATGGTCGGTCACAGTTTTAAGATCGAAGTTTGTATAATATAAACTCTTTTATAGCCGATGGCAATTTCTTTTAAAATTGATTTAAATTAATTTCCAAAAAGGCGCCACTATACTGATAGTGTTGTGACCTCGACGGTACCACGGGTATCAAATGACAGACCAGGACGGACAAGCGGGAAGATGACCGCAGGGTGCAGCCCTAAGACGCTGACACGCGGCTGACACCATAGGTTGACCGTGGCCTGATCCCCAAGGCCAAGACAAACTATATATGACAAGGGATGGAAAGCCCGGGGACGACTGACTCGGATGACGTGTTGTGTGCTCGTGTGCCACTGTAGAAATAAACATTTACATATTTACATAAGCGGCTTTTGTCTTGGTACACCCTTAATGTTGTTGGTTTACGACCCTATCACTACCACTCACAACAGATAGCATCCCATGTTTCACATCGCATACTTCTGATATATATATATATATGTTACGGTCAAAGCCCGAAGTCGGCCAATGCTAGGATTGGCCGGCCAATCCGCGCATTGGCTAATATTGCCTCCCATAGGTCGGTCAAAGTCCGAAACTTTGCTTGATTTCGGCCTTTGGCCGGCCAATCCGCAGACTGGCCATGGTAGACCGGCCAAAGTCTTAATTAGAAGATCATCTGGCTAGGGACGACCGGCCAAAGTCCGAATTAGAAGATCATGAGCAGATTTTTTTTTTTTTTTGCCGTAAGGATCATGAAATTAAGTCTTTATTGATTATCAATTAAATAAAGTAAATGACAGAAACATTCAAATTTTTTATTGTACTATAGTCTCAATCTAACAATATCATCATTTGTTACAACAAGTTGAACTTTTATGGCATTTAGAATTACATAGCAGCTTTTTATTTTTACACTTGCAGCGATTTGTTGTGCTCTTAGTTGTGCAATTGCAGCGAGTGTAGCCTTGGCTCCAGTCAATGATTGTGAAGATGCGATGGTTCGTAGTGATTTTTCCTTAGTGCCAACTGACGACAATAAGAGCAGTTTTTCGTGAAGAATTGAAAACTCACTTCTAGCATACAGTTGTTTTAGAACACCATGTTCCGTTCCTAATTTATAGAAACCACCCTCGACGCTCATGACAACTGCAATCACGCTTCGGGGATCACCGTGACCTCTGTCAACATCTGGAAAACGGATGCGTACATTGTCACCCACTTCACCATCTTTAAACGTCGAGGGCGGTTTTTACAAATTAGGAACGGAACATGGTGTTCTAAAAGAACTGTATGCTAGAAGTGAGTTCAATTCTTCACGAAAAACTGCTCTTATTGTCGTCAGTTGGCACTGAGGAAAAATCACTACGAACCATCGCATCTTTACAATCATTGACTGGGGGCCAAGGCTACACTCGCTGCAATTGCACAACCAAGTGCACAACAAATCGCTGCAAGTGTAAAAATAACAAGCTGCTATGTAATTCTAAATGCCATAAAAGTTCAACTTGTTGTAACAAATGATAATATTGCTTGATTGAAACTATAGTACAATAAAAAATGTGAATGTTTCTGTCATTTACTTTAATTAATAATCAATAAAGACTTAATTTCATGATCCTACCGGCATAAAAAAAAAAAAAAATCTGCTCATGATCTTCTAATTAAGACTTTGGCCGGTCCACCATGGCCAGTCCGCGGACTGGCCGGCCAAAGGCCGAAATGAAGCAAAGTTTCGGACTTTGACCGACCTATGGGAGGCGATATTGGCCAATGCGCGGATTGGCCGGCCAATCCTAGCATTGGCCGACTAACTCAATACACGCAAACCGTCTAACTCCGAAAATGTAAATTTTTCAGGAGAGACAAAAAAGTGATTATTTCATTGTTGATCGGTCTAAAACAATTTTTTAGAATATGTGCGAAGAAACTCTCTACCGACTATACTGTAGCGTTTTAAAATGAGTTTTGTTAATATTTACAAAATTATAGCAGGTTTAAAAGATAGTCGGTTTTGCTCGGTCTAAAACTCTCACTGCAAACCGTCTATCTCTGCGCGCGCAGACTTAGCTGTTTTGTACCGAGAATTTCGGTCTCAGCCGCGTTCGTTCGTTTTGTTCACTGAACGTAATTTAACACTTCATAATATTTAGATTATTGTTTTGTGCTCATATTTTAATTATTTGAGCTTATTCTACTTTATTGGGTCAGTTTAATTTTAGTAGAGATGTTTTAGTATAGCTTTATCGCTTTCGACTGTTTTTTTTAAAATTATGACTGTATTTAGCATTAGACTTGTTAACTGTTGAATGTTATGCTTTATTCATTACATCTTTCTATTCTCACAGTTTATTTTACTAAATCTGGTGGGTGCTGGGCTTATAGAATGATAATAGTAAAAATATAAACCTTATTGTCATATATATATATATATATATATATATATATATATATATATATATATATATATATATATATATATGTATATATATATATATATATATATATATATATATATATATATATATATTATGAATGAGACATAACACAATCACATTAATTATGACTTAATGTTTACTTATTTTACAAAATGTAACAAAAAATGTGTTTATTTTTCAAATGTATTCTTTGAACAAACGGCTGGTCTGTTGAGAGAGGCTGGTCTGTTGAGAGAGGCTGGTCTGTTGAGAGAGGCTGGTCTGTTGAGAGAGGCTGGTCTGTTGAGAGAGGCTGGTCTGTTGAGAGAGGCTGATAAGTTGAGAGGCTGGTATGTTGACAGAGGCTGGTCTGTTGACAGAGGCTGGTCTGTTGACAGAGGCTGGTCTGTTGAGAGAGGCTGGTATGTCGAAGAGAATCTGGTATGTTGAGAGAGGCTGGTATGTCGAAGTGAATCTGGTATGTTGAGAGGTTAGTCTATTGAGAGAGGCTGATCTGTTGTGAGAGGCTGGTATGTTGAGAAATGGTACTCTTTCGAGAGAGGCTGGTATAATCATAAAGACTTATCTGTTAAGAGAGGCTAGTCTGTTGAGAGAGGCTGGTCTGTTGTGAGAGGCTGGTCTGTTAAGAGAGGCTAGTCTGTTGAGAGAGGCTGGTTAGTTGAGAGAGTCTGGTCTGTTGAGAGAGGCTAATCTGTTGAGAGAGGCTGATATGTTATTTGGTAAGACTGGTGTGTTGAGAGAGGCTGGTATGTCAAAGAGAGTCTGGTATGTTGAGAGGTTGGTCTATTGAGAGAGGCTGATCTGTTGTGAGAGGCTGTCTGATGTGAGAGGGTGGTCTGATGTGAGAGGCTGATATGTTGAGAGAGACTGGTCTGTTAAGAGAGACTGGTCTGTTGAGAGATGATGATCTCTTGTGAGAGGCTGGTACGTCAAAGATAGTCTGGTAAGACTGGTGTATTGAGAGAGGTTGTTCTATTGAGAGTGGCTGATCTGTTGTGAGAGGCTGGTATGTTGAGAGATGCTGGTCTGTTGAGAGAATCTGGTGTGTTGAGATAGGCTTGTCTTTTGAAAAAATTAATAATAAAAGCATTTACTAAAGACAACTAACCATGTCGTTGAAAATGTACGCAAAACATTTTGTAACCTACCATATAAACATTTCTTAACACGTAGCTAAACCTTCAATCTAAAGCTAGTAGTGAATTAACAATAATTAAATTTATTGCACAATCTTGTGGAAATATAATTCGAATAATATTGTTTTGATTGATATTTAGATTCTAGAATGAAGATCTAGTTTCAAAGCATTGTGTTTGCCAAAAAATTGTAAACAAATCAGTTTGGTTATTGAAAATCTGGAAATAGGCTATATTAAACAAATACTATTTGTTTATAATTCTTTAAAATGATAAAATGTGATAGAATAGCTGAACATAATTTATCAAATATCCTTACCTATAAGAACTGTGACTGCTGTGCTGTAAAATGGTGTGATTGCGGCGTGCGACTGCGTTCCCGATCAAAAGTGTACTGACAAATATAGCGATATTCGTTTTGCGCCGAGATTTTTAGCGCTTGAAATAATTGGCGGTTTGTTCAAATGATTATATCTCGATAATCATTCTACAGATTTCTCTAATATTTTCAGGTATTATGGGGAATTATACTGGCTTTTGATTTATGTAAAAAAAAGAAAATCGAATTTTTTTTGAGTTAGACGGTTTGCGACCGAGACCATCGATATATAGGCCTACACTTATATATATATAATAAGTTATATGTATATATAGGCCTATATATATATATATACATATATATATATATGGCACATAAATATATATGGCTAAACGTATGTAAATCCGCGCAGGTGGGGGCATGGGCGGACTACATTCTTCGGGGGCTTGGCGCGCTGGTAAAAGTATGTTTTCTGTATAAATTCTATTTTGTTCAGGGGGTGGGGTCTGCCTACTCGAACAGATGCCTGGATGAAACTCCGTTCAAGACGAAATAAATATTTCGCCTATTAACTATAAAGTAACGACACTATCGTTTTGCTGGTTTTCCCGTTCTGCAAAAATAAACAATCGGGAAATCCCGATATTATAATAGCAAAGTATATGACGGCAAACAGCTTTCAATTTTTAATATAAACATTTTTTTTCATGTTTAGGTGTTATAAAAAGTTTAGGGCACAACAAAGCGGAATCAGGTATGTATTAGATGTAAAAATGTGAAATCATAATTTATTGCTTCGATATTTGTATCCTTTTAAGCACAGTAATGATCCCATCATACAGGCCTACATTAGTACATTAGGCTACATTTTGTACGGGTCAGCCATTTCTCAGGTAGGCGTATAAAAGCGTATTATAGTTATATTGTTAATCTGGGTAATTTAGTCCCTCCTCCCCATCACCCGGAGAAAAAAGTCTAAAGAAACACTGTTCACTACGAATAGTCTTCTGAAGGCTATACGTAGTTCTGGGAAGACCATTCACAGCCGATGTACGCTTGTGAGCTGGGTGAACAGAGAACGTCTAAAATACGAGCTTTTATCTTAGATCGAAGGGCAAGCACTCTTGCACTCTATCACTTGACCAAGCCGTACATTGCTAAAAATTAGCTTTCTTTTTTTTTTTTTTTTTTTTACAAATTTTATATTTTTAGGACAAACAATGGCAACGTACAAACCCAGCAAAGAGATCTACAAGAAACAACTGAACTCTATGCTTGAATGCTTAGAGAAACAAACAGTACAGTTACACAATCTAATCAATGCAAATATCAATAAGGTAAAAAAAGATGAAACTTAATTTATAGACTCAAATCTTTATATTATTCTTTCGAAAGTCTTTCGGAACACATTCTTTATTGAACGTAAACAAATATTAAAAGAAAACAGCATAAAATTGGCTAGTTACTTCATAGGAATTGAAAGTGAAAGTTAAGAAAACACAGCATGTTTTGCAAGTGGATCGTATTTTTAACAAGGGAAATTAGCCAACTTAGTAGGTTTTGATTGCCAAAAAAAAAAAAAAAAAAAGCTGTGGGTTGATCCTTAATAGAAGAGCCAAGGGGGATAACTCATTTTTTTAAAAAAAGTCGACTAAGCAGGTTTTGAGGGGGGGGGGGGGGGGGGCGGACTGCACCGGGTGACACCATTTAGGGGCAAAAAATAGCAAAATATATGGAGAAAAATAATAATTCCACTTAAGTAAGTGATTAATTCGAGTGTTAAATAGTGTTTTAAGAGGTGCAATTCGAAAGTTTGAGGGGTGGGTGCAAATCGAAAATTGAAAGTTTGTCCTCGGGAAGGGTCGCTACGCCTCTGGGGGGAAGGGGGGGGGGGGTGACACCATTAAGTGCCGCACCGGGTGACACCCGACCTCGCTACGCCACTGCCTTTTTCATCAACAATTTTCGGCCAGGTCGTAGACCTCAATCGAAGGACAGAAACGACCGATACACGGTAATCGAACTGATATCCAAGCCAGTTAGTCGGAGTTTGCTATTAGGAGGCACTTCCTGAGCCATAAAGAAAGAAAAAAAAATAGACCGCAGCATGATGTAGATTTAGAATGGAGAATTTTTTTAACAACACGGAAGCGAGTTACATAGACAATGGCCCTTTGCTACCAGACCAGGCTCCACTTTTCAGCTGCCAAAGCTATTGAGTTCAGAGCACGATAGCCAAACCGTTACGGGTCATCCAAAAATGACGTCACGCTCTTTTTGACGATTTTTACCTCCCCCCCCCCTTCCCATCCGTCACACATCGTCACAAAAAGCCACCCCCCCCCCCCTAAAAGAACGTCACACTTCAGCCTACAAAGCCTTCTGTTGCATTTTTCTTAAAACATCGATATTTTCCCAAAATCTTGTCTCAACTTCGTCAACATAGACTATTTTGATCAATTCCTATTACAATTTATTAAAACAGTTTTCGAGAATGCGAAATAACGGCTAAAATTAGTTTTGTAACATTGCTTTTTATAATGCAAAAATGTGACATCACACCTTCTGAACCCCCCCCCCCCCCTCCCCTCAGCACACACCGTCACAAAATAACGGACCTCCCTCCACTCCCTACGAGTGTGACGTCATTTATGGACGACCCATTATATCACATTGTTTTGTTTTCAAATTTTTAGTCAGTCAAACATATTAAATGAATTTTAACCATAAAGAATAAGTTTTATTGATTTTATTTTGTTTTATTGAACATTTTCTCCTTATTTCGTTTAAAAAAAATCTCAATATTTCTTTACTACTTTAATTATTTTATGAAAACAACATGTAACAATGCCAAAGATGTGACAGCAATTAAGGTAATTTTTCTTTAACAAACAGGTGACAGCTAGAACCAGAGAATGGATGGAACAAATCAAAGATGACATGACATTTAATGACATCGTGTCATTGATAACCTCTGCCAACACGTCTGTCCTCTATAGCACAGAGGTTATGGAAGGTAGACAAATACGTCTGGACTGAGTGTTACGTCACTGTTACTAAAATTAGAAAAAAAGTTTCGCGGGCAGCTTTTTTTAGCAGCCGCATTACTTTTTCGTTTGTTGCGCCTTTTTAATTAAATTAAAAAAAAATATCAATATGATAAATAAATTCTTCGGGATTTAGAAGCACATAGGTTAGGTTGGTCTGTCGCCCCTCATGGGACATAGGCCGCTGACAAGAGCTTTCCAGGCGTCTCTCTCCAACTGTCCCCATGTGTCTCCTATCTTCTTGGTGTCTTCTACCATAAATTAATGACGTTTGAGCGTTCGAATGCTTACCCAGAAGTCTCGGGTTCGAATCACGATCTGGACCTTGCAAGACATTTCTGAGTCCACCGATCTCTGATGGGTACCTGACCTGTGTTGGGGAAAGTAAAGGTTGTTGGGAATAGTGCTGACCATACCATTCCCCATGTTCTGAGGAAAAATACTAACTCTACTTCATCTGCGATACCGATCGTTATGTCTGAAAAGGGAAGTTTACCTAAAAAATTCTGCCGACATTTTAATAAGTAGGCTTGTGTCAACTAAGCAAATGTTTTTCATTTTGAATAAAACAACATTAAATCAACTGTATTATTTTCTTAACTGGCCCACTAGATGTTTGTGTTTTCGTTGACATTTTTAATATAACACAGGTATGAGCTCAGAACAGCAGCATCTACAAGAACAGGCAGAGCACAGCGAAGGTGAAAACTCACAAGTACAGCAACACATATACACAGCCAGCAACGGTACTGTTTAATTTCTAGGTTTAAATATCGCAAGACACATGTAAGGGCGTATTTTTATTCACTTTGCAAGATTTAGGGGTCGTTTATTAAAAAACGTTGCACTCTTACACTTCGGATGATTTAGAGGTCGTCTATTAACTAAGTCTTGATACTACATTTCGCAAAATTTAAATGTCGTCTATTAACAAAGTAGGGATCCTCGACTGCGCAATATTTAGGGGTTGTCTATTATCAAAAGTCGCGATCCTACATTTCGCAAGATTTAGGGGTCGTCTGTTAACAAAAGTTGCACTCTTCACTTGCAAGATTTAGGAGTCGTCTGTTAACTAAGTTGCGATCCTAGTTGGGACAAGAGTTTCTTCCAGGCATCTCTTCGGGGGAGTCCTACCCCCCGAAGAAAGTCTACCGCCCCCCACCCCCAGAACGAAATGGAATTTATATAGAAAACATATACTTTTACCAGTGTCCCCCCCCCCCCCCCCCGAAAATATCAAGTGCCCCCCGGAGAAAAAAGTCTGGAAGAAATACTGGATGGGACTTTGACGACATGTGACTCGGGGGAGGACGTGGGCTCATACAGTGCGACAATACTTAAAAAAAGTAATGTTGAAACTCGCTCGATTGCTAGCCCGAAGGTCTCGGGTTCGGATCTCAGTTCGGACTTATGACTTTTGGACGTCCCTGAGTGCATCCAGCTCCTATGGATACCTAACTCACGTTCGCTAGAGTAAATTCATAGTGCTGATCACACCATCCCTTCACATACCGTGATCAAGGGAGTCGTTTAAAAAAACAACGCATGACGTCGTTATCGATAATGATCAGTTAATTTGTTAATTTAAAGAAACCAAGACACGTTCGTCTGTTTCTGAGTGGTTCAGAAAGATCTAATTGTAAAAGAATTTATTTTACTTGTAATCACTAAAGATATTCATATAATTTCTTTCTTAATTTATACGAGTTATCAAAACTGCGTTTAGGTGTTAATACAAGACAGGGCTAACTCCTGAAAAGTTATTCTAGTCTTCGATAATAAACATGTCTGTTTTAAATATGATTTGTACTATCTATATATATAATTCTCTTCTGGGAGCCGTTAGAACACAAGCTGCAAGCGCCTCCTTGCAGTCCCCTCTCTTTCTCTCTATCACTATCACTACCACCCCCACCCCACCCCCACATTGTCTGGTGAGCCGTGGTCACGCTGTTTACATTTTACAATCATAGAGACGGGATTGGTGACGGCTATTAGGGGCAGATAATTTAGTTTGAAACGATTTTAAACTTAGAGGAGGTAACTAAGAGGAGGCTGCTTTCACGTGGGGGGGGGGGGGGGGGGGGAGGGGGGTTTAGTGTTTTTAAGCAAATATTTTCAGTGGCAGCATTGGTACTGTCGAATTCACAAATTATAAATTACTGAAAAGTAGAAAAAAAAACAACTAAATAGCGGCGTGTATGATACGCAGCGGGTCGGCTCGTAAAAAATAAATTAACAATTCCTTTAAAAATTGCTTACTTGAAAATATACTAATCGTAACGTGATGGCTTATATAATAAAACTACTAGTACTACCACAAAAACAACTACAACAATTACTACTACTTCTACTACTTCTACTACTACTACTACTACTACTACTTCTACTACTACTACTACTACTACTACTACTACTACTACTATTACTACTACTACTACAACTACTACTACTATTACTACTAATACTATTACTGCAACTACCACTTTTACTACTACTACTACTATTACTACTACTACTACTGCTGCTACTACTACTACTACAACTACTACTACTATTGCTACTGCTACTAATACTACTGATACTACTGATAATAATAATAATTATTGTTGTTGTTGTTATTATTATTGTCATAATTTATGATATTACTTCTATTTTTGTAGATACCAACTTTTCCCGTATACTAACACGACTCGACTCTTTGGAAACATCGGTGTCGTTACTTCAAAAACACAACAGAGAGCAAAAGTCAGTTGACGCCAACATAATTGAAAATTTGACCAAACAACAAGAAGCGTCACAGCTAAAAATAGACAAACTTTCAAAGAAACAAAAAACTTTTAATAAAAACTTTAACCGGAAAATGAGTGAGGTGGAAAATGAAATGCAGGAGATTCGTGGTACAATGGAAACTATGCAGAAAAAGTTGAACACTACGGACAGGAAACTTGAAAGCTGTATACAAGAGTGTAATGAATGTAAGAGCAATATCGGCAGAATAGATACAGAGATTAACAACCTAAAAGGCAGAGACGAGTGTATACAAGAATTGTCTGAAAAGGTAAATCACGTCAATGAAGTGAAACAATCTTTAATGCTACAGCAGAGGCGTAGCGAGGGGGGGGGGGGGTACATACGCACATACCCGGGCGCCGACCCTAGGGGGCGTCAAAATGGGTTGGAAAAACAAATTAAAATATCATTTTAGCTGCAGTTTTGCATCATAAATATAAAAATAATTAGGGGGGGTTCAAATTGATAGTTTTAAGGAGGGGGGGGGGTGCAAATTGAAAGTTGGGAGATGCAAATTGAAAGTTTGGGGGAAGGGGAGTGAAAATTGAAAATCGAAATTTATCAGCGGGCGCCGGCAAGGGTCGCTACACCTCTGTGCTACAGTTATGAATTTATAATTAGAATTTTAAATATACTTACCCACAATAAGTTTTATAAATAAAGTGTATTGTTGTAAGTTTAGTAATATTCTATTTTTCCATGTCGTGTTTCTAAGAACTATATTCCTACCAAACCTAATCAAATAAAATTGGTTCTTTAATGCAAGTGGGACCGCATTTTTCTGTATATTCAGCTTAATTTTTACATCTCCCGTTTTTAACCGTTTTGTTTTACATTTTTTATACTTACCATTTCTAAAATACAATTTTAGTTATCATATTTCAGTAGTTCCACCAAATTGTGCTATTATATAGGAAAAAAGATTATGTAAATTAATTAATTTTAAGAATGACTTAAAGTGACAAACTACATCAGTGCTCATAATTGAATTACGACTGTTTATGTAATCGTATATTTTTTAATGCCACATACGCATTGAAATTTGAATGTAAATATTTTCAACCATCAGCTACAATTATTCGTTAAACTTTTTAAAATTTACATTTTGATATATAAACAAGTAATATTGAAAATCGTGTTTTTTTTAAAAAAATAAAAATGTATGTGTTTTTTTTCTTGCTTTTATTTTTGTATGCAGCAAGTTATGCTTTGCTCGGTGATACAGCGAAAACTACTGCCTTTGGATAAACTCAACAACATTTGTAGACAGAACTTTGCGTCGAGAGAACATTACATAAACCAGGTGATTTTTTTTAAAAACAAAAAGTACTAAAGCCAAGTAGCCAAATACTTTCAGCTTAACATATTTATTAAAAAAAAATTACCTAGACATATTTAAAAAATTACCTTAATTTTTTTCCCCCCAAAAGCTTCAAAATATTAAAGAAGATATTGCTAAGCGAACATCCACGTTTCAAGAAAATGGTACGTTAAAATTTATTTACAAACTCATATATATATTAGACTGTTTTTACACTAAAAGAGATATACTTTTGTTTTTATTTTTGTAATGTGAGCGCCATTTAATTGAAAATCGCGTGTATCGTAATTATTAGAAACAGTCTTTAAAATTAGAAGAAAGCACAATAGTAAACACCAAAGTTGAACTTATTCACTCAACTATTCTAACAGGACATATTATTAACTAAAAGGATAGGAAATAATATACACTTCTTACACACGCTTAAAAAATGGAAAAAAAAATGCCCCACCCCTTCACCTTCCTCTTGAAGCTATATAATAAATTAACGGCAAAAGTTGACTTTAGCAATTATATCACGTTTTTTAATCAAGATGTATGTAGAATTACATATTAATAACTAAAAGAATAGGAAAAATATACACTTCTTACTTACGCCTGAAAAAATGAAGAAAAGCCCCCCCCCCCCCCCCCCCCCCACACTTGCCTCACTTTTCCTCTATATAATAAGAGTACAATTGCTTAGGGCAGGTAAAATTGTAAGCTGATTTTATCATTTATATCCCATTTTTAATCAAGATTTATGTGGAATTAAAATGTAAGCAGTGTGAAGCAAGAGGGGCGGGGTGGGGGGGGGGGGGGAAGGAGGGGAGTTTTTTATGATATTTTTCAGACGTATGTAATTTCCATCAACCAAATATTTTCCAGGTTCTTCAAGCTCATTTGTTGGATTCTCTGCGTCAAGAAATGTGGCAACACTATACACGAATCTCAAAGGATGTATCGTGCAGAAATATGATGACGTCAGATGCAATGCTGGCGGCCATTTTAATTCGACAACTGGAGAGTTCACAGCCCCTGCAGGTGGACTCTATGTTGCTATTTTTAGCACTCAACAGGAAGAAGCAGACGAGATCCGCATGGAGCTGATCCATACATCCGGTGCTACTGAAAACGAGGCCGGTTACATGGTGACGTCAGTAGCCGATTCACTGGAGACAACGTCTGCTGTAGTCCACATGAAAGCTGGTGACACTCTAGTGTTGAAGTACAATAATCCCAACAGCCCAGGCGATGTAATCACTCATACACATTTTTCATGTTTTAAACTGTAAAATTTGCATGTATCAACAACACGATGAATAAAACTAATGTCCTACAATGTTGACATCCCATTTAATATAATGACTGACACAAATTTTTCATGTTTTAAACTGTAAAATTTCCCTGTATCAGCAACACGATGAATAAAACTAATGTCCTACAATGTTGACATCCCATTTAATATAATGACTGACACAAATTTTCATGTTTTAAACTGTAAAATTTGCATGTATCAACAACACGATGAATAAAACTAATGTCCTACAATGTTGACATCCCAATTAATATAATGACTGACACGAATTTTTCATGTTTTAAAATGTAAAATTTGCATGAATAAAAAACACCTAGATGAATAAAAATATGTATAACAATGTTGACATCCCATTCAAATTCAATATAATCTCTTACATGAGTATTTCGTATCGAACTGTAAAATTTGCATATATCAACAACAAGATGAATAAAAATAATGTCCTACAATATTGACATCCCATTCAGTATAATCACAGACACAAGTGTTTCATGTTTTAAACGGTAAAATTAGCAGACATTGGCACAATTATAAAATATAGACACAAAAAGCTAAACTCCATTACATTCATCGATTCTAAAATCCAACACACAAATTAACATCTGTGAGTTCTAGTTCAATCTGTTCAATGGAATAAAATTTGATTACTGTTGATGTACATAAGAAATAAAAATACTACATTCTATAACATCTTGTGTGTAGGCCTATACATTTTAAACCAATTTTCCATTTTGGTTAAGATTGCATTCAACAAACACAATACTATTTAAGTATTTGAAAAGGTATCAGACTTCTACCCCCCCCAACCCCGTGCAGTCTACGGGGATTTGGGGGGGGGGAATAAGTAAGAGAGAACTTGTAAAACAACGTTGCCCTTCAGCCTATTAACTAACCTTTCTCAAAATATTATTTTAAAACAAATTAAAAAAAAAAAACAATAACCACCCCTTTTGAAAGAACAATTACTGAGCTCGATTAACATTGTGTATAATGATCACTTTTTTTTTTGCTATTAACACAAAAAGTGTTAAAATAACGGCCAAGCTTGAGTTGAAATAGTAAAGCGTGTTGTCAGATAAGTGTGGCGTCGTTTATAGACGAACCCCTCCCCCCACCCTCAACAAAATAAATGCTGCATTACATAGAACATGCACACCAGCCTTAACTCTCCCCAAACGCTAGTACATCGACCCTCAAGTTAAAGTAGAGCTCACTCAGATAAATACCTAGTGTCACATTTAGTTCTGTGAATGATATACCACTGGCATTGTGGCCTGCTGACCGCTCTCGGGCGTAGAGTTTCTTCCAGCATCTCAAAAAAGTCTACCCCCCACCCCCCCGAACGAAATGGAATTTATATAGAAAAAAGTCTGGAAGAAACACTGCTCGGGCGCTTGGTCTGTCTAGCCGGCACAAACAATACACAAGAGAAGAATTGTTGAATTAGAAACACCCCAAATAGAGAGTTTTGATCGTCCATTTTCATGGAACTATATCATTGTAATCCATAAATACTTGTAATATGTGAAGTAAGAAAGTATCCTTTTCCGATCCAGCCAGCGGTCCATTGTAATGGTATGGGTCAGTACCTATCAGAGCTGGGTGGTCTCTGTGACGTCAATCGGATTCGTTCACGTTAGCATTCTACAGTCCGACAACGTCGTCCCATATCATGTTCCGTAGTTAAATGACATTTGTTTTGATGACAATTTGGTTTAATGACAGCATCCTAAAGAGGGTGTGGTCTGGTGGTAATGGGAAAATCTAGGTGCAGGATTGTGAACATAAACTATCTGCTATCATTCAATTTTGTACATTAGCCATTACCACTTTTTAAATTAAAATTACTGTAGCACATCATTAATGAAGTCAGAACCCCCACACCCATTTACAAACATCATTACAAAAGTTTGAACCCACACCCTCATAGACTCACATCATTACAAAAGTCGGAACCACTATAGACTCACATCATTACAAAAGTCCGAACCACTATAGACTCACATCATTACAAAAGTCCAAACCACCATAGACTCACATCATTACAAAAGTCCGAACCACCATAGACTCACAACATTACAAAAGTCCAAACCACCATAGACTCACATCATTACAAAAGTCCGAACCACCATAGACTCACATCATTACAAAAGTCCAAACCACCATAGACTCACATCATTACAAAAGTCCGAACCACCATAGACTCACATCATTACAAAAGTCCGAACCACCATAGACTCACATCATTACAAAAGTCCGAACCACCATAGACTCACATCATTACAAAAGTCCGAACCCCTATTGACCCACATATAAAATGTCAGAACCCCCACACCTACTGACCAACATCATTACAAAATTCAATACCCCCAATGACCCCTTACAAGTATAACATAGTTTCTGGACGACCCCTTTCAAATTTGCATGTAACTAAACCCTTCTAACTTAGTCACCCACAAAAACGCCATGTCTGCTTACTACAAATGTACTGTACTATAGCGATGAGATTAACGAGTGACACTAATCCGTCTCAAAAGGACAGTTAACACGACGGGATTACGACCGATGACGTTGCTGTTTTGAAGAGACAGCTGATGCTGTGGTTTCAAAAAGCGCTGAGCCGCTTGTCCTGTTTATGTTGGAGAAATTATGCAGTGAGCAGGCGGAGAGTTCTGACACGTGATTACTATTTTTACACAAAGCTGTCACCTGACAAAAAGATCTTCAACCAGCCCGTTTGGAGAAATGAAAACGTATGCATTGCTAAGCGGGAGTTCTGACATGTGATTACTAATTTTACACAGGTTGGGAAAATTATACAGATACTTAGTTAAGAGGACGAGGTGGGGGTGTGTGGGTTGAAGGTGGAGGGGGGGGGGGGGGAAGTAGGGTAGTCACGAAAAAGTGACATTAAATCCAGATGTTAAAGCGACTGACGTTTTAAAGTGGGGAGGGGAGGGGTGTGTGTGGAGAATCCATATGTAAGTTTATTAAATTAATTGTATTTTTGTAACATTTGTATTAAAGTAAAATACCCCATTTGTAAGTTTTTTAAAAAGTAATTACATTTTTCAATACATGTCAAACCAAATGGTCTATAGGGCAGTTAAAGTAGAGTTTACCTGATTCGTTGACCTCGGCATGGTCAGAAATATGCTCAGTCGCTTTTACTTTCCCTAACGTTAGACAGGTACCCATAAGAGCTGGGTGGACTCAGGGACGACCTATGGACTTGAGCCAGCGATCTGAACTCGAAACTTTGGGCTTAGTAGTCGAACACTTTACCACGAATATTAACGTCGTGGTATATTATTTTTTGTGTGGAAATTTTCTAATTTCGGAAAACGTCTGTCCAAGCATTTGTCCCATTAAAGATAATGTCAACTAGGAAAATTGGCCTTCGGACAAACAGCATTTAAGCTATTATCTGTCCTTCATCCTGTTATAACCTCTGGACAAATATTATCCAACAACTAAGACAGAAATGCAACGATAGTAAAACAAATTGAGCACTCCACGAATTATACAACTATGACATCAAAGTTATTATCCCTTTGGCGCGAATGTTACCTCCATTTTATTGTCATATAGGCCATTGCTAACTACAATAAAAAAATAATTGAAAAGCCTATTTAATGCTCCCCATCACAAAAATAGGTCGCTAAAATTCTTTTCACCTTCACCGTGATAAGCAATTGAAAATTATCAATTCAAAAAGTGATGAATTTACAAAGCGATGAATTCACAAAGTGATCATTTGGATGATTCTAAGAGTTTTTGAATGTGAGTTTTTTTTCAGAATGGTGACAAGAATAGGATGATCGTGTCAAGTTTAAAGTTCCTTCAGCGCATTGATGTACTCACTCGGCTTGTCATGTGCTTACAAATTACACGTCCGTTCTATGGCATCAAGACCTTCCAAGAGCTGACAGCCAACACGTTCACTAATCAAATGGGAGAGTGGGGTGGGGTGGAGGGTGGGGGGGGGGGGTTGGTCCAGCGGGGCACACAATTTGTAGTCTCTACGTGAAATATGGCTCAAAACCGTTTTTTTTTTCGTGGTTGTTTTTCAAAGTAAAAAAAAAAAAAAAAAACAACCAATAAACAAAAAAAGAGTTTGTCAAGAGGGGTGGGTCTTTTCGAGAATGTACCGCGGTTACAAAAATAAAGAAATAAAAACTGATTATTTTGCGTTTGAAATAAATTTTACATTTGAAAATAATGAAATAGTTATTAAAAATCTATTCTAATTTTAAAACCATCCGGTTTATAAACGTAGCTAAAATATAATTTATTTTTTAATATCTGAATACCAATTAAACTTTATTATTAAAAACTAAAATTGTAATTTGTTTATAATAATGAAATGTTACGTAGAAAAAAAATTCATAAAAAACGTTTTAATAACAAGCTTTTATGTAATGATGCACTAAAAAGTAGAAAATAAATTATAGACTACTATTTAAATAACTATAAAGAAAAGCGTGGGTCACTTTAGTATCTATTGGATACCTTTACTAATGTTAAGGAAGACACCCACGCTTTTCTTTATAGTTATTTAAATAGTAGTCTATAATTTATTTTCTACTTTTTAGTGCATCATTACATAAAAGCTTGTTATTAAAACGTTTTTTATGAATTTTTTTTTCAGTACTTTACATGTTTTATCTACAATAGAGTTACATGACTAAAAACCATTGCGCGCCTACTGAATATCACGTTCAGTAGGCGCGCAATGGTTTTTGAACGCAGCCATTACGTGGTCGTGATGGCGCAGCTATTGATGACGCGTGTGGTGTGGTTGGCTAGACATGCCTACTAATTCGGTCCAAATTTTAATTAATTCATAAAAAATCAATTAGGCATCCAATTAAGTCAAATTTAGTTTCAGATTGCATTGTCTTCATGTCTTGACCCACGTGCCAACTGTGAATCGTATCGGTCAAGTAGAACTGTCCGAATTTTCACTCCTGCGTTTCCGTCTAGACTGACGACAGACTGTCGACTGACGACTTACGACAGAGGAAGTGAGTTAAATAAAAGCTTGTAAAAACATAATTTAATTTATAAGTAAAAATAACAACATTTAATAGTTGAAGAAAATCGTATTTTTCATCTTCTTTTTTTTTGTGCTTTAAAAGCTTATAATGATTTAATTTTAATTTCTTTTTAAGTTAAAAAATGTGTTTATAAAATCTTCAAAACTTAGTTTTTTAAACAGGAAATTTTAATTGATTTTAAAAAATAATAATTTATTCAATATATTTTACTGTCAAAGCATTATAATTTGATTTTTATCTACATCTTAAATTTTTAAGAATCTGTTCTGTAAAAAATTAAAGAGGTTTCGTTCGTAAGTTTCAGCCCATAACGGTCAAAAACCATGACAACGAGTTAAGTTAATAATAAATATTGTAAAATAAAAAAATAAATCCAAACGCTTATAATAACCATATTTTTTTCTCACTAAAAATAGAAAAAATTAAATTAAAACAAGTATATTTAAATATAAAAAATCTAATATTATTTAAAGACTTTTCAAGCATTGTCTCGATGTTAAGTAAAAAAAAATTGGAGCCAGTAGGAACACCCTTTAATAGAAATAGACTACAAACAATTAAAGATTGTATATATATACAATATATATATATATATATATATATATATATATATATATATGTGTGTGTGTGTGTGTGTGTGTGTGTGTGTGTGTGTGTGTTTGTGTGTGTGTGATTGTGTTAAGCAGCTCAACAGAAAAATCAAGTTAAACTTGAGCTTGTAAACAGGACTGAGTGATCACGATATTCCAAACACACCCATGCTAGATTTACTGCTCACATAAGAGTATAGGCGTAGCAGTTTTGAGAACCGCCAATAATTAGCTGCTATGTTAATCTAAATCCATGAGATGTTGATCCCTGTGGCATGTATCTGGTGTATAAATAAGGGGATGATTCAGAGTTATAAAACACTGTTGGGAGGTTAATACGAAGTTAGAGCACTTTAAGACTGCAAGGCTAGTCATTTCGTTTGCAGTTTTTACTCACATCTTTACACCAAAGTCCCAAACGGGATTTCAGTCTAGAGCATATACTTTGTAAGATATTCTGTCCGTGTGATAATGTGTTAATAAGATTTATAATAAATTTGTAAGGTAAAGATGAAAATTCAGAAAAAAATATGATAAAGTTTTGGACTACTAGTTTATATTCTATAAAATAAACACATGAATGTAAATTGAAAATGTTACGTTTTAAACAACTAGAAGTTAATTAGAATTAAGAACGGAGAAAAAGGCATAGTTTACTGTGAGTTTACTAGTACCACCTTTCTACTTAGTGAATCGGTATTTCTTTGTATAATTCTGATTTTAAAAAGTAGATCAAAATCCGTTTTTAGACCTAAAGATCCGTAGGGCACATGAAATAGAGTTCATACTTGAATTAAGAACGAAGAAGAAGGCATAGAGTAAGAAGGGATTCCGTCCAACTTAATGAAGTATTCCGTGGCAACTTGTTATGCGCCACTGAGGCCATTGACTCCGATTTCAGCCTGCTTTACTTTTTTGATTAGTTTCCATGGCCTTTGTCCAACCAATAACAAATAACAAGGCAGCAGTTTTTTTATACGTTGGATAGATAGCTGTTCCCAGCTATCGAGCCTCATCTGCCCGGAAAAAACTGTACCAAGCTTGCTGACGTTTATTTTTATCTTTACAGCAACATGTCTTCTATTTATGCCCTTGTACTCATCCTCCCGACCCTGACCTACGCCGGGGTGGTAGAGAATGCGAAACACATGTTCCAGAAAATGGACGCAGACGGTGACGGAGAGCTGACGAGGAAAGAGTTTTTCGATTACGTGAAGGTGAGAACTTCTTTTTTTTATTTTCTCTTATACGGGAAAAAGTGAGAGCAAGTATAGTGGAAGTATTGTAATCGTGCAATTAATAAAATCTCGACGTTTTACACCTCCCCGAGTCGGAAAACGTAATTTTGCAATATTGTCCGTATCTCTCTGTGTGTGTGTGTGTGTGTGTGTCTGTGAACACGATAACTTGAGTACCTTTACAGCTAGCTTTATGAAGTTCCATATATAAGTATTATATCAAATGTGTAGTTCTGTATCAATTTTTCAGCGATTTCCGGTAACCGGAAATGGAAGATTTTTCAAAATCATATAACTTGAGTACTGTTTCAGATAGACGATATTTCACATATAAATAAAAGATCTAATTCTCTGCCTTCTGTGAAATTCTGAGTAATTTCCGTTTACCGGAAGTAGTACAACGCTATTTCCGACTTCTCAAAAAAAAAAAAAACGCATATGAATTTATGAAGTACTATTACTTCTCACTATTATACAACCAATGTTTGCTGTTCACGTGGTGTGCAATTCTTTTTTTCATCGAGATTCTATTTAAAAATTTTAAGTAATTAAAAATTGATTAAAAATCATGTCTATATCGAAAGTTGCCACCCCCTTAGTGTTATATAATAAAATTCCAGAAAATTCTCAACCTCACCACTGGGTCCGCCAAACTACTGATTATAAATGTACGATCGTAAAACACACAATATATTTTAGTTGAAATCAAACAGTCAATTCGACAATCATTTTTTATTTACACATTATAACATCACTAACAAATACCTTTTTTTAGTACATAAAATATTAAACCATAACCACTATTCAATCTATAATAATAGTTTCGCTGTCTGTCAAGAACGCTCTGTCTGACAAGAACGCTCTAGAGAAAACACAAGCAAAATAAAAACATGCACAGTAATTCGAAAAACGAAATATGACGTCGACACATTTAGCGTAGAGTAGAACATAATCTCAAACCAGAGAGTGCACACAGTAATATGACGTCATTGATTATCGCGTAAACATTGAAAAAAAGGAAATGTTGTCTAATCTAAATGGTTTGCGTGAAGAGTTTCTTGCATACAATTCTTCGGGTAGGGGCGAAGCCCCACCCCCCGCGTAAGAACGTCTGAGCCCCCCCCCCTCCCCAACTCAAAAGAAATTTCTTCATCGATACTCTATAATAAAATTACCGCCTAATTAATGTGTCTAATCTAAAAAGTGGTTTTCTTGCAATGGGACGGTAGACATGTTTTTTTTTGGGGGGGGGGGGGGGGGGGGGGTGGAGGGGTGGGGGGGGGGGGGGGGGTGTGGGGGGGGTGGAGGGGTGGGGGGGGGGGGTGTGTGTGTGTGTGGGGGGGGGGGTGGTGTGTGGGGGTGGGGGGGGTGGTGTGTGGGGGGGTGGGTTGGTTTCAGTGTTTCTTTCAGACTTTTTCCTCCCCGGAGAGGGGTGGGGGTACTTGAAATTTTCGGGGGCGGGGGTATAATTTTCTGGGAGGGGGCGGACACTGGAAAAAGTATATAATTATATTTCGTTGAATGGGACGGTAGACATGTTTTTTTTGGGGGTGGGGGTGGTGGAGGGGTGGGGGGGGGGGGTGGTGGTGTGTGTGGGGGGGTGGGGGTGGTGTGTGTGGGGGGGGGGTGGGGGTGGTGTGTGGGGGGGTGGTGGGGGGTGGTGTGTGGGGGGTGGGTTGGTTTCAGTGTTTCTTTCAGACTTTTTCCTCCCCGGAGAGGGGTGGGGGGTACTTGAAATTTTCGGGGGCGGGGGTAGAATTTTCTGGGAGGGGGCGGACACTGGAAAAAGTATATAATTATATTTCGTTGAATGGGACGGTAGACATGATTTTTTTGGGAGTGGGGGGTGGGGGGTGGGAGGTGGGGGGTGGCGGGGGGGGGGGGGTGGTGGGGGGGGGGTGGGGGGTGGTGTGTGGGGGGGGGTGGGGGGTGGTGTGGGGGGGGGGTGGCGGGTGGTGTGTGGGGGGTGGGGGTGGGGGTGGTGTGTGTGGGGGTGGGTGGTGTGTGGAGGTGTGTGTGTGGGGGTGGGGGGGGTGGGGTGGGGTGGTTTCCTCATCGATACTCTATAATAAAATTACCACCTAATTAATGTGTCTAATCTAAAAAGTGGTTTTCTCGCAATTTCTTTAATGCAATTCTTCGCGTAGTGGCTAAGCGCGACACCAGTGTTTCTTTCAGACTTTTTCCTCCCCGGAGAGGGGCAGGGGGTACTTGAGGTTTTCGGGGGCGGGGGTAGAATTTTCGGGAAGGGGGCGGACACTGGAAAAAGTATATAATTATATTTCGTTGAATGGGACGGTAGACATGTTTTTTTGGGGGGTGGGGGTGGGTGGGTGGGAATGGGTGGGGGGAGGTGTGTGGGGGGTGGGGTGGTGGTGGTGGGGGTGGGTGGTGTGTGGGGGGTGGAGGTGTGTGTGGGGGTGGGGGGTGGGGGGTGGGGGGTGGTGTGTGTGGGGTGGGGGGGTGGGGGTGTGTGGGGGGGGGGTGGGATGGTTTTAGTTAAGAGAAAAGAGACAGCACTATCAGCCTAGCGCCCGTTGTACCCTTCCTCAACGGGCCATTTATCTAGTCTATAATAATAGTTTCGCTGTCTGTCAAGAACGCTCTGTCTGACAAGAACGCTCTAGAGAAAACACAAGCAAAATAAAAACATGCACAGTAATTCGAAAAACGAAATATGACGTCGACACATTTAGCGTAGAGTAGAACATAATCTCAAACCAGAGAGTGCACACAGTAAAATGACGTCATTGATTATCGCGTAAACATTGAAAAAAAGGAAATGTTGTCTAATCTAAATGGTTTGCGTGAAGAGTTTCTTGCATACAATTCTTCGGGTAGGGGCGAAGCCCCACCCCCCGCGTAAGAACGTCTGAGCCCCCCCCCCCCCCCTCCCCAACTCAAAAGAAATTTCCTCATCGATACTCTATAATAAAATTACAGCCTAATTAATGTGTCTAATCTAAAAAGTGGTTTTCTTGCAATGGGAAGGTAGACATGTTTTTTTTTTTGGGGGGGTTGGGGGGGGGGAGGGGTGGAGGGGTGGGGGGGGGTGGTGTGTGGGGGGGTGGGGGGTGGTGTGTGGGGGGGTGGGTTGGTTTCAGTGTTTCTTTCAGACTTTTTCCTCCCCGGAGAGGGGTGGGGGTACTTGAAATTTTCGGGGGCGGGGGTAGAATATTCTGGGAGGGGGCGGACACTGGAAAAAGTATATAATTATATTTCGTTGAATGGGACGGTAGACATGTTTTTTTTGGGGGGGGGGGGGGGGTGGGGGGTGGGGGGGGGGCGGTGTGTGGAGGGGGTGGTGTGTGGGGGTGAGGGGTTGGGGTGGGGGTGGTGTGTGGTGGGGGGTGGTGTGTGGGGGTGGGGGGTGGGGTGGGGGTGGTGTGTGGGGGGTGGGTTGGTTTTAGTTTAGAGAAAAGAGACAGCACTATCAGCCTAGCGCCCGTTGTACCCTTCCTCAACGGGCCATTTATCTAGTCCTAATTTATAAAAGGCCATGTGCGCTCTTCTCTCTCTCTCTCTCTTTCTCTGTCCGCAAAAATTTTTCGCCGGACATCACGTCAGAATCGGCAGCGATATATCGAGAACTTTTTACGGACTTTTGTTGAAAATAATATGTTAGATGTTTTAAATGTATAACCACAATTTTACTTAAAGAAGAAAAATAAAAATTAAAGGCGTATTCGAATGTAGAGAAACAGTATTATTTAAGCAACCGGAAAAGCATTAATACATGTGAAAAAGAACGCATAAAACTGTGACGTCGCTATTGCTTATACATTAACTAATGACGTCATCTGCTGTGTTTTGAATAAAAAGAAATGAACTATTTCATTCAAATTTGATTTAGATCTACGTACACTATGAAATGTATACAATACAGTTTTTCCGGCCTAAACTCATAAAATTTATTTTATTTATTTGGATTCTAGATCTAGAGATTCTAGATCTAGACTAAATCTAAATCTACGCAATAACTAGATCTATAATCTAGACGTAGACGCTAAGATCTAGATTTAGACTCTAACTTCTCTAAAATCTATTCCAAAAATAAATTTCTATATTAGGACTAAACTATTTCAAGACTTATTTATTTTATACAAAATCTTTGTTATGAACTGGCTAATTTGGGATAAAAAAATAATTTGAAAGAATAGGCATATTCGTGTAAGTTAAGATTTTAAAATACGTGTTTCATTCTCCGTATTTTATAAGGTGCCTAAATAGCGGAGATGTTAGTGTACATTAAACCACGCAGGTGGTGCGGGTTCGAGACACAGCAAGTCAACTTGGTTAATGTATTCTTTTTTATTATGCTCGGGCTAAACTTAAAAAAAAATTCTTTTAGGAATCTAGATCTAGATCTAGATTCTAGATTGTCGGGTGTCCGATAGGGCACTTCCCGGCGCCGCAGGCGCTTCAAATTTGGCATGATCTTGCCTTGGTGCGACAGAACACGGGGGCCGGTTGGCCGAAAAGTCTACGATGTGGGGGTCAAAACTGACCTCGACTGACCGGTACCTTATATGAGCTATAAATCGAAAAAAAATGTCCACGGAGGAACCTCTTCATAACTCTTGAGGTCGTAGACCGACCTTCGGGCGAATTAATTAAGCATTCAAATTCTCAATGTTTTCGAAAGCCTAAGCGAAGCTGGGCAGCATGCCTAGTTTTGAAAAGATACGCCTAAAACAAAGTCACTATTCAAAGCAATTCGCAACACTGTGACTAAAACACTACCTCTATTGAATCGCATAAGATTATCAATAAAACATAACTTCTAATCATTAGCAAAAAACTTAGAATTATAAAACAACCATTGTTTAATTGCACAAAATTAAGAATATTACAAAACCTCTAACAAACATAACTTCTAATCAATAGCACAAAACTTAGAATTATAAAACAATCATTGTTTAATTGCACACAAATAAGAATATAACAATACCTCTAACAAACTACACTAACTTCTACTAAAACACAACACAACCTGCACAAAACTAAATCCGTGTTGACGTGAATTATGTGAATGAGAACGTACATAGGCATGATGTAAATCATGTATAGCCTACTGTAAAAATACTACAGTGAAAAATGTGTGACGTCTGTGTATATTTGATCGTGTACTCATTGTTGGACTTGTAGCCGACTTAATTGAGTTGATGTTCGCGTTATGATGTGCAAGGTTTATAATTGTACGGCTGAATGTACGCAGGAATGGGTATAAAAAGTGCATCAAACATTGTCATGACATGCTTTTACGTACTAATGCACTCAAGCGTTATAACATTTAACCTAAAACCTAAAACTTTTACCTCTAACCCAAAGCCAAAACCTCTAACCTAAAACATTACCTCTAACTTGAAACCTAAAACTTTTACCTCTAACCCAAAGCCAAAACCTCTAACCTAAAACATTACCTCTAACTTGAAACCTAAAACTTTTACCTCTAACCCAAAGCCAAATCCTCTAACCTAAAACATTACCTCTAACTTGAAACCTAAAACTTTTACCTCTAACCCAAAGCCAAAAACTCTAACCTAAAACTCTAACCTCTACTCTATAACCAAAACTTCTAACCCAAAGCCAAAACCTCTATCCTAAAACATTACCTCTAACTTAAAGCTATAACCTAAACATCTAACCATAACCTCTACCCTATAAACATAATCTTTAACCTAAAACCATAACTACTAACTAAAGCCATAGCATCTACTATATAACCATAACCCCTAACCCAAATTTATAACCTTTAACCTACTTCATAACCTAAGGCGAAAGCTTCTAACCTCTAACCATAACCTATTCCTTTATAAACATAACCAAAGCCATAACCTCTAACCTACTCCATAACCTCTAACCTACTCCATAACCTCTAACCTACTCCATAACCTCTAACCTACTCCATAACCTCTAACCTACTCCATAACCTCTAACCTACTCCATAACTACTAACCTACTCCATAACCTCTAACCTACTCCATAACCTCTAACCTACTCCATAACTACTAACCTACTCCATAACCTCTAACCTACTCCATAACCTCTAACCTCTAACCCCTAACCAACTCCTTAACATTTAACCTACTCCAAAACCTTTAACCTGCTCCATAGCCTCTATCCTAAAGTCATAACGTGTAACATCTAGTCATATCCCCTACCCTATATGTATAACCGTAGCCTCTACCCTATAACCATAACCGCTAACCTAAAGCTGCAACCTTTAATAAAAAAAACCATAACGCCTAACCTATAGCCATAACTTCTAGCCTAAATACCTAGCCTCTAACCTATAGCCATAACCTTTAACCTAAACACGTAGCTTCTAACCTATAGCCTTAACCTATAACCTAAATACGTATCCTCTAACCTATAGCCTTAACCTTTAACCTAAATACGTATCCTCCAACCTACAGCCATAACCCCTAACGTAAAAACATAACCTCTATCCAATAACCACAACCATTACCAGATAACTATGACCTTTCACCTAACCTCTGACCCCCTTCCCTAGAACTTCGACGAGAACCACGACCTCGGGCTCTCCCTGCAGGAACAGAAGAACTTCATCGGCTCGCTGTCCCCGGACCTGGTCCAGTACGTGGAGGCCTGGTTCCCCATCGGCGACACGAACCACGACGGCAAGTTTGACCAGTCCGAGATGGACAAGTCCTTCGCCGTCCTCGACTACAACAAGGACGGCGTGGACACGGAGTCGGAATTTGTCAGGTGGGCGGAGATTTCAGTTTTTTTTTTTCACCTGTGTTGATTCCAGCGAGGCATTATTTCCTAGGGCAATGCAACCCCTCTCCCACAGGGCAAGTCCGATGCCCCCTCCCCCGCCCCAGATATAAAATTGGAAAAACATTATTTGGAATATATATTCTTTAACCATTTTCCGACCACATCGGAAATTATAAGACCACCCTTTTCATCTAGTAGTATCAAAGGCACTCACCGGACAAAAATGTCTGAAAAAAAGCCTACATTCATTCAGAGAGATTGACATTTTAAAACTTTGCTAATATGTCTAATCTAAACTTAGTTCACATTCCTTACCTTCAACCCTAAATTTAAACCTTAAAATTATCACATATATTAAGCCAGTTTTTAATTCATGCTCATGCTTTCGACTCACTTTGTCACAGAAAGCTATTCAAAAAGAACGGCACACATTTTCGCCCCTTTCAAAAACAACCATAATTCTAGGGTAAATTATGGTGCATTTAAACATATTATTCTTTTAAAATAAAATACAAAATATAAAATACTTTACACTTAATTATTGCTCTTTCTACTCGCCTACTTAACATGTAAAAATAAAACGTGTCAGATCACCTCCCCCCTTTCTTTCTCAGTTTTCGGCATCACTTATAGAAGACCCTATCCCATCTGTTTCCATTATTCAGTGGTTATTCCAGACTTTTTCCACCAGGGAATAGAGGGGGGGGGGGGGGCATTATCCGTGGGGGGGGGGGGGGGGGGAGAGACACTGGTAAAAGTATATGTTTTCAATATAAATTCCATGTCCTGGAGGGGGGTGGGCGTAAACTTTCTTCGGAGGGGTGGGGCAGAGCCCCCCGAAGAGATGTCTGGAAGAAACTCTGGTACCGTTGATTGCACTAAAATCAGCCATATGCTAATACCACAACCCTAATACTGGACAATACGCAAACTGCAGTCTAATTTGGGCACTTATCTACATTTGGGCACTTATCTAAATGTGGGCACTTAACTAAATTTGGGCACTTATCTAAATTACAAATAGCATTAACACCAACCTTTGTCCCAAAACCATGAACTAATATAATTTTGTACTAAACTCTAAAAGTACTAGAAAAATAATACTAGTCTATGTAAAAAAAAAAAAACCTAAACATTTGACAATTATACACCATTTATGTGTCCTGGTTTATATGCAGAAAGAACTTTAAGGATACTTTTATTTTTATTGTAAAGCAAAAAAAAAACAATAATTATACTTTAAAATATATGTATCATTTTTCTAAAACATTTGATACGTATTTTCTTGCTGAGTCATAAATTGCTAATTTATGCTTGATGAGTAATACATTGTATACTTTATTTGACGTTTATATATATTTTTTTTTACTTGCAGGTATGTGGTTGAGGTAGTAGTGCCCGCATAAGTGCATCATGCCCTCCGTGCAGAGCATGGTTGTTGGACAGACCTATTGACCAGATGTTTATCACGATGATTCCAATAAAATAATTAATATTCAAAGAAACACGATTACACTTTCTTAAAATAGATAGCAATTGTATTTTAGTGTGTTTGATGTAAAATAGCATGTAATTTTTTTATACACTTTGGTATTTTTTTTTTGGTTCTTTAGTGGTACTACTTGAACTCCTGTGATATTTAATATTACCGTTTTGTCTTAATTAGTTTGCTTTTTTTAAAAAAAACGACACATTAAAACTATGCTTCTTGTGTCTATAATACAATACAGAATGCTTAAAAATAAAACTGTCTCCGGCTTGAAGTTCTTATTTTAATTAATTGTTGTCCTTAAAGTGCACGGTTTACCTATTCTTATCATATGTAATCAGAATACCCAATCTTTTCTTATGTGTACAATCTTCAAACAACAATATGTTTGAGCAAAACCGAACAAAAACAAAAATGAATAAATCATAACAGAAAAAGTAAGCTGAAAAAATGAACACAACTTAACGAAAGCGAAACAAAACAGGACTATTCATTACATTGTTGCACTTTAATATATTCTACGCATTCGATTTGCATGTTATGCACTTTATTGAATGTAGGTTATGTCGGCTGATTATGACTAAACTCATTTGCTTTGTGGCGTTTATGCATATAATAAAACATTATCTTTAATAAAAGAGTATCACTTCAAATTCATAAGCCACAATGTATCTCGAACGTACACGAACGCAGAAGCATGTGATTGGACGATTGTTTCATTGGATGAATGTTGTTTCAGAGAAGAAAAAAAAAGACATCGACGTACTACATGAAAATGTAAAATTCTTCAGGGTTCGAAAGATTTTGAGGGCTCGACTGGCGTTAAAATATTAACACGGGATATCAGTGTGATAGTATTCTTCAATACTAAATGTACGCTTTTTGTTTGATTGACATACGTGGTACTCAAATGTAAACAATGTCGGCACTACATTTATTTTTCTGATCAGTTGCACTTAACTATGACTAAAACATAACCACATAACGTCCGATCAACTGCCTTAACTAAGCCTAATAAAATAACTCTTAATCATTTGCACCTAAGGGGTGCTAACCTCTAATACATTACACTTAATTAATACTAAAACGTAACCATATTGCTACCCAGACGCAGTGGCGTAGCGAGGTCGGGTGTCACCCGGTGCGGCACTTAATGGTGTCACCCCCCCCTGAGGCGTTGCGACCCTTCCCGGGGACAAACTTTCAAGTTTTCGATTTGCACCCCCCCCTCAAACTTTCGATTTTGCACCCCACCCCCGTCAAGTTTTTCTCTATATATTTTGCTATTTTTTGCCTTGGTGTCACCCCCCTAAATGGTGTCACCCAGTGCGGTCCGCACCCCCCGCCCCCCCCCTCGCTACGCCCTTATTCAGACGCCCCAGGGTGTGATGTTAGAAAACCATGAGTGTTCGTTGATCACACCCAGCAACGGTGCAGTGAAAACCACTCGTCGACCGCCCAAGTGTGAGTTCATCACCTTTTACTCTTGCTAGACACTGGCTACATTCTCGAAAGAGAGGAAGGTGACACCCTTAATTTAGCCGAATCATCATTTTTGGTAACATCTTGTATCTCTAATGTTGCGTGCTCTTTAAAACCCTGATGGGAGAGCCGCGGGTGTTCTGGGGTATTCGACTGCCGGGGCGCCGGATGACGTTTATAGTCAGGTTATAACTGATTCATGTAGTACCCCTGAACACCTGTGAAGGGAGTTCCATCAGTGGATCAAATATTTTTAGGCAGCCAAAGTGGAAATTAGGGCGCCTAATGGAACACCGCATCCACAATATGTGTAGACATCTGAAACGATTCGAGAGTTTAGGAAAGAAATACGTACAAAGGGAAATAACTAAATGAATGTTTTCCATTTAAAAAACATCTAAACTTGGTTACCTCCCATATAAGTTTCAATAATGTTTGTGTCTTGATATTAGGTGAAATATAGGTCTGAACAAATAAACTAAAGTGAAGTAATTTTTTTTATTGATTTTTCAGATGAAATTATAATTTTAGTGAAGGATTACCAATTTATGTTAAAACTGTTTTAATTTATCGTTAATTTAAAACTATATTTTGAGAAGTTTATTAATGTTAGGAATGTATAACAAGAGCGTTATTAATGAACCAATATTTTCGTATATGAAAAAAAAGGTCAGAAAATAATATAATAAACATTTAAATTAACTTCTTAAATAATTAATCAATGTGTCCTTTATGAAGAACTAAATTCATCTACTCTGGTTCTATTTTGAGGAACAATCTTCCTAATAAAATAAAGCTATCTAGATCTGAAAATATATTCAAATCTAAACTAAAACAACAATTATTTAATGACCTCTCTATCTGACTCATTGAAACATTTCTCATTCATCTATTATATTATTTTTTAAATCTCATTTTGTATTATAACTATGTAACATTATTTCTTTATTCCACATTTTTAGTGCTATGTTACTGCTATGTGTTATTGAATTGTTGTTTTATTTGTTTAAACGGCCAATGTGAAAAAAAAAGGCCTTCGTGCCTACAATTGTAACCGTTTTTTTTTAATAAATTTGAATAAATTTGAATTTAATCCTCCGCTCTAGTATGCTCGGTTTGTTTATGCTCATTTGGTTTTATGTTCAATCGCCGCCTACGTCAAATAATTTTTACCCGGATAAATAAGCCAACTGGAACTACCGCAAAACTCCATTCCCCAAACCCGACATAGATTTCTCTTTATTCACCCCAACCATTACACTAAGCCTTTAAGCAATTGAATTCTTCATCAGTTGATAAAATTTGATATTTTACTATCGGAATATAATAATTGGACACTTAGAAGTTAACATAAAAATAATAATTATTAAGTAGGTCACCAACCAGTTCTACGGCTCAATAAAACCTGCAGGAGCCATAGAACTGGTTGGTGACCCACTTACCAGCCCTATTGTGTTCGATGAATTAATTTGTAAGCGTGAGGTCATTAGGCACAACTGTTGCAACTGTTAAAGGTGGGGTGGGGTGGGAGGTGGTGTTAGAGTTTGGGGGTGGGGAGTGTTATCGAGTAGGGGGGGAACGATGTATTGCTGGGACGTCGGTTGACAAATGGTGTTACGGTTAAGCGGTGTTGGGGTGGGCTGGTGGTGTTATGTGGAAGTGGTGTTAGGGGGGAAGTGTTGTTGGGGGGGGGGGTGAAGTGGTCTTAATGGGCAGTGGTGTTAGAGGGGGGAGTGGTGTTAGGGGCAAGGTGGTGTTGAGGGGGGGGGGGAAATGGTGTTAGGGGGGAAGTGGTGTTAGGGGGGAAGTGGTGTTAGGGGGGAAGTGTTGATGGGGGGGGTGAAGTGGTCTTAGTGGGCAGTGGTGTTAGAGGGGGGAAGTGGTGTTAGGGGGGAAGTGGTGTTAGAGGAGAAGTGGTGTTAGGGGGAAGGTGGTGTTGAGGGGGGAAGTGGTGTTAGGGGGAAGTGGTGTTGGGGAGGGGGAAGTGGTGTTAGACGGGAAGTGGTGTTGGGACGTGGGTGCGGCAATACCTTGGTAGAGCGCAGGGTGAATGTTGTGTTGAGTTCAATAATTATTGTAATTGCGAGGATGTAGTAATCCGTCATCAGGAGAAAAAAAACAACTGAAAAAACATTCTTTTGCAATAAATGAAATCAAAGAATAAAATAAAACAAACAGAAATATGACAAATCGCAAGAATCATTTTCATTTCTAAATTAAATAATGATTTCACCAGCTTAATAAAGCAGTTCGAATTTAAATTATATTATTTTTAAATAGAATAACTTAATAGTCGTTGAGGAGGTAGACTATATATTTAATTAATTTAAATCATACAAAGATAATACTTATCTGTATACTACTATTGTCATGGCAGAGGCATAGAAACACTGAAAGCTGTATCTGTAAGTTAATTGTGTATTTAGTAAGGGCGGTAATTGTGTATTTAGTAAGGGCGGTAATTGTGTAATTAGTTAGGGAGTTAACCGTATATTTATTAAGGGAGGTTATCGTGTATTTGGGTATGGAAGTAAATGTGCGGTTAGTAAGGGAAGTAATTGTGCATTCTGTAAGGGAGATGATTATGTATTTAGTAAGTAAGGTAATTGGGTATTTAGTAAGGGAGGGAATCGTGTATTTGGTAAGGGAGGTAATTATGTATTTAGTATGTATTTATGCAGTTAGGAAGGAAGGTAATGGTCTATTTAGTAAGGTATGTGATTGCGCATTTGGAAAGGGAGGTAATTATGTTTTAGTAAGGGAGGTAATTGTGCAGTTAGCAAGGGAGTTAATTGTATATTTAGTTAGAGAGGTAATTGTATACAAGGAAAAATTAATCTGTTTATCTGACATAATATAATGGGAGAGTTTTGTGAACAAGATGCCAAGCTGCCACAGATAAAAAAAAGTCACGTATCCATAAAAAAGGATTATCCCTCTTGACTTATTGACCGTTAGCTGTGTATAATAGACATTGAGTTTGACTAATTCACCTTATTAATTGTATCTATGTTACAAAATAAACTTGACAAAAAAATTAATTTGCATAAGTTGGGCTTAATTACGCCACGTCATACTCTACTATGTTTTCTCTATTGATTATTAGTTTGGTGAAACGATTGTTCTAATTATTAACATCCCCTTTGATTGACATTTACTACTGTCATTTGACAAAAGGTAATCATTTTTTATAATTCTACTTTCAGTTTCATACGGCGCTGTACCACACTTGCTCAGAAAGCGAGGCTACTTAGTGTCAAACTGCAATACATTTTGTATCCGTCACATAATTTAGGACCGATTTTGCAAAGTCAGCTACAAAAAAAAAATTGTATACATTTAGGTCAATGGGCCTGGTACATGGGTAACATCTGGCCCTTCTCATCCTATTAACTCGGGTTTGTGTTTCCAATGGTGTATTGGATTGTGGAAAAAGGTTATAGTATTATTATTATTATTATTAATAATACTAAAATACAAAATAAAAATAACATAAATGAAATACAATAAAAAAATAATAAATAAAAAATAAAAAATAAATAAAAATAAAAATAAAATAAAATAAAATAAAATAAAATAAATAAAAATAAATAAATAAAATAGTACTTGTAATAGAAGTTGCAGTTGTTGTAGTTGTAGTTTCTATAATTGGTTTGATTTAACCATCTATATTTCGAAATTATGTTGTATTTCTATATAGAAAAACAGCAAAACTCGTATTCACTGTTGATAAGTAAGAGTTTTCTAACAGAATACAGTAGGCCTACATAACAAAATTTGACATCGATACTTAGCCAGGTTCAAAGCATCGACTTGACGATATAAGCCGGCATTGACGTTAAATGTGACATCAAAATTAACCCTTTCAGCATGTACACTTGAATAATTAACATAATGTCAGAAAAACTGATAGGTGTTTTATACTACAAACATGTTACTTAGTACGCCAGTGCTGACCTAAATCTATATACCTCGATATTTGTAGCCTGTATATATATATATATATATATATATATATATATATATATATATATATATATATATATATACGTATGTGCGAGAGTGGTGACAAGTGGGACACCTTC